AAAGCATTTAGGGCTTACTTAGGACAGACCTGGGCAAACTACGACACATGGAATAGATACGGCCCGCTGGGCGTTCTAATCTGCCTTCCAAGGTATGGAAAGATGTCAATCCTTCTGTTTCATGCAATACAACAAATCAACTCAACTCAATTTATTTTTGCCCAGCATTCTACATCCAACCAATACTGAACTGGCCCACCAGTCACCACAATTTGCCTCATTTTAGCCAAAAAGTTTGCCCATCCCTGCCCTTATGGGGTCACTGTGTGGCGTCTGACGCAAACTGTTCCCCATTTAAAGATATTTTAAATAAATGTTCACTCAGCTCTTTTTGGTGAACTTTGAGCTAACGTTTGGTTTAGTCCTGGCTATCTGCAACATTAGGAGGTGTTTTGTCCTAACCTTTATTCTATATTGATATTTTTGTGATAATTTCAGCAAAGAGTAATAGCAAACAATATTTTTTAAAACTATTTTTACTAAATGTTTCAAAAGTCTCAGCTTACGTCTGTTTTAGTTTTCACTTAGTTTTCACCTATATAATATTTACAGCAGTAGCTTTTTACCTGACGTTTTACGTAATCATGCCTTTACCCTTGGCTTGAAAATTGCTAATAAGATAGATTGTTGTGGCTTATTTTGTATTATGCCTATTTTGTAATTGTAAAACAGGTCTAGTTTAATCTCAACATGTGGTGTACATTGAGTTTAGCCTTGGCCTATCACCTTTGTCATAATCACTGCCAACTTTTTATTCCTTGCAGGATAATTGAATATACTTTGTTGTTTTACTTTTTTGTCACAATAAGTTGAAGCACATTCTAGCCAAACATTGTTAAGGGCAACTTAGAAATGGGTGTTAAAGTTATCCCATCAGAGAGTTGTAGTTAACGACCAACTACGAGGCCACGACCCATACTTTTGGAGTCACTTCAGTTTATATTTTGCTCTCTTACATGATATGTTCGAGCTTTATTTGTGCACCATATACATTTGTAAGTTGTTTTTTTTTTTTTTTTACATTATGGAAGGTCAGTATTTAACCAGTAATGTGACTTTTGAGTGTAACACATGTCAAAACTCCAGTGTGTAACATTAGGGCAACAAATAGTAATAAAAAAGCCTTTATACAAATGTATGCATTTAGAGTTAATTCAAATTAGTAAAAAAAAAAAAAACGTAGTCAATACCCAACCGACTGATGCAATGAGGTTGGAGTGTTTTCGTGAGTGTAGACTTATTTTTTATTTTTAACTTACTGTGAAACCACTTGTCAAACCTTTGTGTAATACCTGAATGGTTGGTTTTATATAGAGCCAGACTAGAAGACAATATAATACTTACCTGATAAGTCACTTGTAAATGTTCTTCTTTCAGTTTTAATGTTGCAAAATGATTTCCATGGATAAAAACAGATTACTCAGAACTCTGGATAAATGGTTTATTCCCTGCATAGTTGACCTGAAAAGCAAATGGTTATTCAAGTTTTGCTGACAAAAAATTAAACAAATATTGAAAATGTCCTAAAAGTTTGTTTTTAAAGATGTCATGTAAGAGAAGCTTCCACAAATGCCTTGATCTTTGTCAGATGTCAGTTAGTTCAGGTTTCAATACATTTTATGGGAACTAAAGACAACATACAGTGTCTGAGGCTTTTTAACCCAAATGTTTATGCTTGCACTGCAGTTATGAGCAGTCTGTTCAGGCCTGGAGAGATGTCGCTAATTCTTACACACTGGACGTTTATGCAGCCACGTGAAGTTGAACACACTGTAGATTTGAATAAAAACGTATTTTCCTGACACAGCAGTTCAGTGGAGAAACAAGTCAAAGTCTACCCTACATAAGCACAACCCCTGTCACAATGTCTTTGAGTAGAACTTTGAGAAAAGTATTTGATAAATTTTACATTTTTTAAAATGTTTTTATTTTTGTTGTTCTCTTCTCTCAAACTAATGTTTGTTTACTAATTGCTTTTAGGAACACTTAGTGTGCTCCTTGGTGCACATATTGGCTACTATTCTCTGTATGCATTTTGTACATTGAAAAGTAATACTTTTTAAGAGAGCATTGAGCCTCAACGCATAAAAAAAGCATAACAAGGAAATGCATGCAAAGAATCATACCCTGAGGGTATGATTCTTTGCATTTCCTTTTCATGCCGATGTATATTGTATATTGTATGTATATTCTAGCTCTCTTTGACCATGCGGAGAGTTCACACAGTCCCTACAAGAACAAAAAAACAAAAAAAAACAACAGATTCACCTGTTTGTATTATAATAAACAGGAGTGGTTGAGGTTTCAGTGAATACGTCTGTGCACTAACCAGAAAAAGAAACTGATTGTAAATATAAAATGACAGACACCTATAGGGGGAAATCATCTAAAAAGCAGACAGGAAACGTTAAAAGGACCACGTGATCAAAAAGGACAACTATATATATAGTTGCAGCACTAGAACTAACCAGTACTAAAAAAGATGAGTGCTAAAAGGAAAGGAGACCTAACGACATTGTCAGGATTCGGTAATCACAGGGTTAACTCTAGATCTCAGTCGTGTCCTATTTCAGGGTTTGCTGCCCATCCTGTTCCTGCAGTTGTGTGAGGCAGAAAGAAAAAAGCTCGGAGAGATCATCGGACCTTCCATAGATCAACAGGACGATGGCGGGCATCTATGTGTTCAAAGTTTTCCTGGAGTACCACGGTTCAGCTGCTCTGGGTGAGCGGCACATCGGAGCAGCACAGAATTATTTCTGCCTCCGGCGAAAGTCAGGTGGAGGAGACTGTGGACCCCTGACCTGGGTTTTCGGACAAATCTACAGTATTGCTTTCAGAAATCAAAAAGGTACGTCACCGAATTACACTTTACGTTGATTTTGTACGCGTGTTTGTGTATAGAACGAGTTAAGATTACTTCAGCTTTTGTCGGGATGCGAGTCTTTACTTTCACTTTCGTTTTGTCTTTTCCTCGGGGAGATTCGATAAAGAATAACGCCTTCTGAACGGAGAACAAGAAAAGCCAGAAAGGAAAAAGGAAGTTATTTTATTCATGAAGTTTTATGGTGAATTCCTTTGTTTCTCACACCTAGGATTATTTTCGCTGACAGGGCCTTAAACGGGCTCGGGTTAAGTCATAAATCAGTGTGTCTCTTTCACTGATATGATTATTAGCTGCTGTCAGGACTACTATCCAACAAACAGAAGTTTTTCTGAGGATAAAAGATTAACTTTTCTTTTTAAAAATATCGTTTGGGGACATCTTATTTGCATATTTGATTTGGCTAAAAGTTTTACGCCGGATGCCCTTTCTGATGCAACCCTCACCATTTATCAGGGTTTGGGTGACCCCTGAAAAAAAAAGGGACAACGCCGAAAGAAAAAGAAGTTTGGGGACATCTTAACCAAAACACAACCAGCGATTAAAATTCGCTTGAATGTGAAAAATCGATTCAAATGTGTTATATTAAAGTGATTAAATATAACACTTAATAAAAAATATTTTAAGTCAAATTATCAAACATTCAGTAAAGAATTAGGGGGCATTTTTGTTTGACTATGCAAAGTTAGCCAAACTATTACAAAAAATAAAAATGACAAAACACATATCAGGAACAGCGAGATTATGAAATGGAAAATAAACTGCAATTCAAAGGATAGAATAAGTCGGACAAAAAATAGCAACGGGTTAACCAACAGCTCAGTAATGCTTATGGTGTAGGATTTAAACTGCTATCACATGGCTGAATAAATAGATAGATAGTACATACAAGTGTTTGTATCATTGTATTTCTTTGTCTCAGGCGCCCTCTTTTGGCCACTTTGTGTCACTGCCTTAATCTGGTTGGAGATGCTCTTCACCAGAAGTCACAAAATACCACATTCGTTTGAATATGCCCCACTCTGTGTCACAGCCTCAAACAAACACTTCTAAACTATCTCTCTTGTTAGACCAACAAAACGTCCTGCTGAGGCCCGATCACATTGTGGAGCTTCCTGATGGACCTCTCAGGTTCACTGTCAAAGGAACCTTGGAACCAGATCACTCTTCTTCTAGTCACAGTTTACCAACTCCCGCACAGGTAAGAAATTAATTAATAAAAAAAAATAAAGAATTAAGTTACATCACAAAAGTGGGATTTGTTTCTTCAATGAATATGTTTTTAATGTGTTTCTAGAGCCTTCAGCCTAATCCTGGCTCAATTTCTCAACCAAGTGGCGAAGAGTATGAACTGCGCCCGATGGCTTCTCTCCTTTGCTACCTTCTGGATTGTGGTCAGGCTAAGAGAGAACTCGAGCAAGAACTTCTCTCCTTGACCTGTTCTCTTCACCTTGATCCAGACAGGGTTTTAGTCAGGAGATCAACTCAATCTGGTGCTGAAGTTGAAGGAAGCATCTGGAAAGCTCAGGTAGACACGCTCTTTGATCGCTACAAGTGCCACGTTGAGGTGGACCAACAAATAGTGATGGCTTTGAATCAGTTCCCCAGCATTCAGCAGATCCCAGATGACGTGAAGGTGTATCATGAGGATTCAGTGGCAGTTGTTGTTGGGAAGCATGCCCAGGTTGATGCTTTTTTGTCATCTTTGAAATCTAAGTGGGCATGTTTACGTGAAAAGGACTGGCATTTCCAAGGGACAAGTACCAGTTTTGGTATGTCTATGGAGACAGAAACTGACAGCAAAGTCACAGCCAGAGGAGCCACTGCTGGTCCAATCAAAGACAGTGTCCATGTTGAGGTTGTTCCGGACACTTTGAAATCCCACCAAGTAAGTAACCGAACCACCGTAACCCGAAATTGACATCAAAAGCACCAAAAAATGTGTCAATCTTTGTGAGGTGGCAGCTGAGGGGTCTCAAACCCAGTTGATATTATAATATTGTTTTCTTTTTGTGCAGATTTCTGGAAGACTGTCTGAAGGGATTCCCCAACCTGAGGAAGGTCAGTATGGATCAACTTCAGGATAGACTTAAAACATCAGTAAAGATATGTGGACCAGTAGTAGTAGTTCTAAATTGTGAAGAGAAATGTGGCCTACATCTGGGGTAGCAGAAAAATGGTCCATAATATAGTCTGCACTAACTAATACCACAGACCTCCTAATGTTACGCATGAAAAAACCAAACAGAATAATGTTTAATGTGGTTTACACAGAACATCAAAAGTACATGTAGAGTCACATGTAAGGTCAGTTTTTACAGAAGGTCATTGTTAAGTCTAACACTGAGAAAAAACGAGTGTCAGGCGTTCGATGACAGCTGTGTACTGCACCCTGACCAAGGAAGTATGAAGGAAGACCGTTTACGAACATTTACATTTTGTTAACATATTTTTTTTATCCTTTTTTTCCCCTACAGCTTTGACTCCAATCAGAACCATTTTGCTTGGGAAAACAGGAACTGGGAAAAGCACCCTTGCTAACACTATATTTGGGGAGGAGGGTTTGTTCCCTACAAACTGCACATTTACATCTGTAACAAGCAGATGTCAGGCAGAAACTAGGTCTGTTCATGGAAGAAGCATCACCCTGATCGACACTCCAGGTTTATTTGACACAAATAATCCTAGGGAAGACATTAGATCCCACCTGATAAACGGTATCATTGAGTGTGCACCAGGTCCTCACGCTTTTCTCATTGTCCTTAAAATTGAGCGATTCACTCAGCAAGAGCAGGAGGTCATCAATGAGATCCTTCAGATTTTCTCTGACGATGCTCTTCAATTCGCCATCCTTGTCTTTACCCATGGAGACCAGCTCCCTGAAAGAGCCAACTTTCAAAAATTGATCAACGAGAATGTGAATTTGAGCAACCTGGTAAGGAAATGCGGTGGTCGATACCACATCTTTGATAATAAGCCTGGTAAAAATAAAGAGCATAGAACGGCCAGTAGCAGGCAGGTAGAAGAGTTGATGAACACAATAAATGAGATGGTGGCAAAGAACCATGGTGGCTACTACACCAATGCAAGGCTGTACCAACTGACGGAGGATATAAAAGAGGACGAGATGGTTTTAATCAAGTCATCGCCACACCTGTCCAAGGAAGAGATCACTAGGCAGGCAAAAGAGAATGTGGCTAGCAAGATTCTCATCCAGCTGACGGGAATTGCAACAGGAGCAATAGTAGGAGCATTCTTTAGCTTGTCACTATACATGGGATTAAATATCACAGCTATAAACGGCGTTTCTGGGGTACTTCAACTTAAAAAAGCTGCAAAGGAAGGCATTAACATAGTCAGTAAAAGAAGCGGGGGGTTAGCAGTTGCTGGAATGGTGGCTGGAGCAGGGGGAATAGCAGGAGGTTTCATTGGGTATCACGCGGCAAAAACTGCCAACACCCCAGCAGAGGCAATGTGCAGTGCAGCCAGGGAAGTCTCCAACTTTGGCAGACAATTAAATCTAAAATAAATGATTGGCCGCAGGAAAAGTAAAAACTCTCATGAGTCAGTAAGTCTTATTCTAACACTTTCTGACTTTTTTTTTATTATCCATGGGTACAGAGAGTTCTTCTAACAATAATTCTATGTTGTATAATCCAGAGAACAAGGTACAAGTTGTCCTAGTCCTAGTCCTAGTATCTTTACCAATGAGACCATTAGGATGGAAGTAGTCACAGTGAGCATCATCGGAGTGGCCTGGTTTCAATGGAAACATTTGTTGTTTTTTTCTTTCAACTACAAGATTTGGTGATGGTTCCTCGATAAGTGGGTGGTGGAGTTTTCTGTTAAGAAGAAACTTTTGGGTTTCAATCTGTGTGCATGTCCAAGGAGGAGGGTAATAGACCAAGTCAATCATCTACCGTTGCTTTGAAACTCAATGATGATTCTCTTTTTTAAATGTGTGTATTTGAAAGTCTTGGCTCTCAAAGTGTCAAAAAGACATTAAAACAATACAAATCACAAACTAAAGGGTTTCTTAGACTCTTCTGTCAGCAACAGTGACCTTTCTTTAGCCCATACATCTGCTGGTTCTCATCTGGCATTCTTGTGGGCCTCTGTTGGGTTAGACCAGTACTTCTCAAATACTGGGACGGGCCCTCCTGGGGTGTGTGTGTGGTGGTGAAGTGCGGGGAGGGGTGGGGCGGGGGGGCATAGGACATTAGTGTACTACTACAATGATAACAAGCCTCCAGTCACTAGGTTTTTGTCCCCATGGAGGGGCATGAGAAAATATTTGAGAACCACTGGGTTAAACAGTCCCCCATCTAAACATAAAAAACAGAGCTATAAACAAATGAAAATATTAATAATTAAGAAAAATAATTATATTATTGTTATAAAAATGGGTAAAATAACCCAGCGAGGGACAGTGCGTGAGACAGAGCCACAGTGTGTCAGGGCCACTAAGGTAGGAGGAGGACTAGGAGTCAGGACTCGATTTAGACAGAGAAATGGAGCTCGGTTGAGTTCAGAATCACAGTTCAGGATTAAGAACATAAATTAAAACTCAAAAGCCAGAAGGTGTATTCAAAGCTACACCTTAACATTTAAACAAGCACAGACTTGGAAACACCCTCAGGAGAAGTTGACCCAAGTCCATTAGTTCTAGCCACGCCTCTTCCTATTTAAAATCATCACTTCCTGTCTCTACCTGAGCAACATGTCTGAGAAACTTCAGCAGCAGCATGGAGGTGACCAGAATCATTTAAAACTTTCTTGTTCTGGACGTCTGGATCTCCTGGTGGAACTAGTGACAATAAGCTGTCGATACTGTAGACAAAGTAATGAGGAATTCTGTGACAGAGCAGAGCGGGTGAAATGGAAGTACAGCTGTCCTCAGTGCCAGGAGAGCTTTGAACCCAGGCCAGTGCTGAGGAAGAACAACATGCTGGTTGAGATACATTTACACACATTCTTCCTCTTATTTCCAAAATGTTTGGTTTGCTTCTCCTGCCATGAGTTTACGCCGGTCTAATCCTGACAGGGTTTGTTTTTGGTACTACAATGAAGTGAACTTTGGTAAATCTGCTGTTGCAGGAGCTGCAAGGTGCAGCTGCCACATTTGAACGATTTATGTCAATATCACAAAATATTTTATCAAGGGCAGAACTCACAAAACCATGACATGGAGTCAGCAGTAGACCAAAACACAAAAAGCTACCAAAACTTTAGTTTAGTTTGTAGGAAAATCACTTCTTTGATAGCTTCTGTTCCATGCTCTGATTGGTGGTTTCTTTCTTACTGACTCTGCATAAAACAACCTCAAAACCCAGGACGTTACCAACAGCACGGGGTGTTTGTATATTGAGAGCAGTATCTCTATATCTAATCTAACTTCCTGAACAGAGCTGCCTTCTCCTTGTCAGTCATTTTTCAGTCACCTTAGTCTTAGTTTCTTGTCCCTGTTGTTGCTTTTACGGTGGTCAAAGTTAATTTGAAGCAACTCATTTTGACTCAGGAGAAACTCAGGCCAGGAAGAGGGTTGCAGCTGGAGGAGGAGATCTGTGACCTGGAGACAAGAGAACCCCAGCTGAAAGAGCTGTCCCAGGCTGATGACTACATCCATTCAATGCAGGTCAGAACTTAAAGTACACATTCTTCATGTTTATCTTCTCTGTATGGAAAGGTTGAAGATCGCCTGAACCATCTAATGGCCAAAAGGTAAACTGCAGACATGGACCATTGGAGTAGCCACGCACAGACGCAATCGAATGCACAGCAATTACTGTACCCTTTCTTGAACAACGTGTAGGTTAGTGTTAGCTAATCTAAAGCCAACCTTTAGGTTGTGCTTAAAAACCTACAGCTGCTGTACCCGACCCCAGACAAAGGGCCCAAAATGTAGTACCAGGAATAAAATGGTTCAAAACAGTATTGGTCGGTTAGTCCCAGCTTTTACCTGTTTAAACATGGTTGGTTACCCGTTGACTTGACTCTTTTTTTTTTTTATTAGCTTGTCAGCTGCTAATCCGCCTGCATTTCTTGCTGAGCTCTTTAGCATTAGTTGTTAGCCTGTTGTTATTTGGTTAGCCTTTTGGTATTGGCCTGTATCCGCTTCACATACTCTCTCTGGCATCGGTTGGTGTTTGGCCTGAACATTGGCCCTGATAGCATTAGCTTTGCATTTACTTGCTTTTATTGTAAGATGTGACCATGAATATGAAATTGCCTTCATTTTGAACTTGGCATTATTTTCTTCCAGACTTTTCAGTCTCTCCCCAATGAATGTGACTCATCAGACATTTTATTCAGCACCATTGTTGTTCGTTCCTTTCAAAACGTGACATTTTGCGTGACTGAGCTCAACGAGAGGGTTGAGTTGGTGATAAAGGAAGTAACTAGTGGAAAAGTGATTGGTTGCTTTTAGTTGCGGGGCTAACGTCCTCATGTAGTGTTTTCTGGAGAAAGACAAATGTTTTCTCTCGTTTCTACATTGTCTTATGTGAACTTCCCACTAGAACCAGCTTCAAAGACCAGAAAAGAGTTTCTACAATGTAAGATCTTCTCATGCACCTCCTTTACTTCCATGAACACCACTGTCCCACGAACGTCACACAACTCGCAGTCTGGAAAAAACAACAACATCCTGGAGTTTGGACTGCAGCGCCAGTGGTTGGGTATTTTACAATAACGTCGAGAGAGAGGTACCGGGGCTTCACTGCAAGAAGATCGGCGTGTACCTGGATTACAAAGCAGGTACACTGTGTTTCTACCCTGGATTACAAAGCAGGTACACTGTGTTACAATGTGGCTGACCAAATGGTTCTGCTGCACAAAGTCCAGACCACGTTCACCCGGAACTTATTTATTAGTACCACTTATTGAGTCTAATGGATAATTATAAGAGATTTTAAATGTACAATTGTGAATTTCACTCAATTTTGATACGTTCACTTTAGACAAGGGCCTTGTGTATTGAAAAGTGCCATCTAGTGGACAAACCACGTGTGCTTTTTCATCCTAATTTCACAATGAGGCCCATATCTCTTGTAAATATGGAATCACTCTTCCATCTTTTATTCCTAATTCCAAGTCTACTTGTTGACTCTGTGCAAAAATGTGACTACTTTTCAGTGTAAGCTGTCTCCTCTAGAGGGCACCAGAGAATGAATGAACAGGAATTATGACTTTAATTATAAATGTTTAAATTGTACTTTTTTCATGGACAGTTGTTTGACTGAAGCCAGGAAATGCAGGCACCTTCCCCAGCTCTGAACTGTCCCTTTAATTTGACTTCACAATGAATACATTCCTTGCTCAATAAGGAGAGAAGGATGATTGACAGGCTGCCGATGGTGACACACCTTCATTTTACTGCTGCTCTGCATGTTTGAGCAAGACAAATCAGTGGCAGAGAGGGGGGAGAGAGAGTGGGTGGAAAAAAATGTAGAGGGGTAAAAGAGAAAAGTAACAAATCACTGATCAGACAGGATATAGGGGAAACATTATCAGATTCTTCTTCTCTGGTCGTCTTCACTGGTCAGCTGAGATTCACTGTCTGCTGCTTGGAGGTGAGTCGGCTTCACTTCACTGTCTGTCAGGTACAGTGTAGTTCAGACGAATCACTTCAGTCAGTCAGTCATCGTCATGCTGCTGCAGTTCCATGGATTCCTGAATGTTCTTTTAACATCCTTAAGTGTTTTCAGTCTCATTTGACAAGTTCTACTTTTACATCAGAAGGTTATTAAATATAAACTTATTTATTTTTGTAATTCTTATCCAGCGCAGGGCTTTGCACGGAGGAAGAACAGAAGCGTTGTAGACAGTTTGTGCCTGAGTCACACAGCAACACACCTTTTGCAATGAGTCATGTTGTACAATGTGTTCATTTGTTTCAGTTGAGGCTAGGCTTTAGCTTTTATGTTGTGTGGAACTGACCTGAAAACAAAAATGCATTCAGATAGAAATTTTATTGATGTTTGAGGGAAAAGAAATCACCTAGAGAACTACAAAAGGAAGAACAACTGAAAAAAAAACCCCGTCATCCTGTTGGCTGGTGTAATGTGTCACAGTGGAACAACAGATTGGACAACACAGCTTTGATGCCATTGGCCTGTAAACACTGGCCATGTGGTTAACTTGCTGGGCCACAGTGTTCTGATGAAAGTGTGGAGAAAACTATGGGATGAAAAGGAGAGGGAAACCACATCGTAGAACTCTGTGTGTGTGTGTTTGTGTGTATGTGTGTGTGTGTGTTTTCTAACACTGAAATAGTTTGGAATCATCCAACTAGACTTCCGCCTTATGTTTTCACAACAAGAATTTTAGAATTCTTCACCTCACAGATTTAATCAATGTTTGCTGAGGCTTTTACAGGAAACCACACGTGATTGTGCTCACATATAGTAACTAATAAAAAGGTTGCTGTTCATTTAGAATTGACCTAAACTGTGTCTAAAGGAAGATATAAGTTAGCCAGTTGACCCAAAAATAACTCGAATATAAGTGTAAACAAAACTAAAGAAAACTCTTAGTATTAAAATTAACTTATGATTCCTCTAAATAAATTGCTAAAAAGCTAAGTTTAGTAAAAAAAAAAAAAAGGCTACTCCGGGGTAGTTCTTCTTAAACTATGTCACCAACATTTTGGCTAATGATTGTTTTTTTCCCTGCCTTTCAGCTATTTTCCTAACTTAGTTGAGTCAAGTTTTGGAGATGTTTTTTTCTACTTAGCAATTTAAGCTAAATATTGTACTATGTATTTTATAAAGCTACAGTACTCTGGCTACAATTGGCTAATATTTTGGCTACCTTTAGCAAGCTTAGCTGTTTACAGAATTAACAGAAGTATAAATGCCATTTTTGGCTAGCATTTACTTTTTTATGCATTTCAGCCAAATTAGTGACTTAGTAAATGTTTTAGCTTAATGCTAACTATACTCTGTCGAACTGCCGCCACTTACCTCCTTCTCTTATGTATCACACTATGTTTGGCCGTTTCAAGCAGTATTTCTTAGGTGTTTAGGTAATGAGTCTACTATCACTTTACATACATTGCATTTTGGAAACTGGAATTTCACAGGAGAAAAAAAAATCAATCCCTCAGTGAAGAATATTAAATCCACTGACGAGCAGTACAGATGGTAGAAATATTACTCAGACATGTTTCATCAAATGTCTCGAATAGAGGCCAGCCTTTTCACATAAATGTGCTGATTTCAACGCTGAGTTTCCCTCCCCACTCATGCGTCAGAACACAGCAGGTTGTCTTGGCAAGACGTGGGTGTGAATAATGAGAAATGTTACATGTGTAAACTGATACAGCACAGTTGTGAGTGTCGGCAGACGTCAGGGCGTGCGCCCCTGACAATAGCTGAGATATGTCTAACAAGAGGAGACATGTCAGTATTTTTAAAACCATTCTCTGGTTGCATGATAGGCCTGTTAATGACGTATGTTGCCAAGCAGGAGTCCACACAAACAGGAGCAATCATCCACTGTGTGACTTGGTGTCTGTGGTTCAGCCTTGCAACCCAATCCCCTAATCTAAATTTAGACTTTGGGATTAAGTTGAGTTTAGTGGTCAACTGGACAAAGAAAGTCTATTCCTGGAACACGCTCCAAAAAAGTTGGGACATAGCTAATGTACCAAACCAACCAAACCCCACCTTTTCTTTTGTTTGTTCTGCAATCGCTTCCTTACAAAGTTCACTTCCATTATCCAGCCACATAGGATTCACGCTCAAATTAACACCCATCGTCAATTTAGAGAGAACAAATTATCTAATGTTTCATGTTTTTCCACCATGGGAGGACACCAGAGAATTTAGGGATTCAAACAGATATTTCTGTCCATGTGATGGATTTTTACATCCTGAGGAGTTGAAAGACCAGAGTAAGTGCTTAGAAAAATATAATGGACAAGAAGGACCTGACTCAAAGGACCTGGAAATGCTCAATTGCAAAATCTTAAAAGTTAATTTGAACAAAAATACCTTTACATTTTCTGTAAAGTTTTCAATATTATGCAGAGCAATCATCAGAAACATATCAGACCATGAAGTTAATAGTGTTCATATAGGAGCTTCAGATACTACACCTCTCTGGTAAACGTAGGTCTGGAGATGCAGTGTGAAGTTAGAGAGCTGAGGTGAGAGACCACAGAAGATGTTGGTGAAAAGTAGATGAGGCAGGAATAGGGTGAAATGGAGGCAGATGATCAATTGTGGTGGTCCTGGAAGGTGGCTGCTGAAGGAAGAAGAATTCTGCTTCTAGAAAGTGTTTTTGGCATATTTACCAAAGAAAGAGAAACCTATGAGCAGTAACAATAGAGTTTCTACTTCACTTTTGCAGTGTTTGACTAAATGTCAATGTGTGTTTTTTAAAGGTAACAAAAATGGCCCTTCGTAACTCATATCCTTCCATCAACAACTCTGTACCTGGAAACATCACAAATGAGACCATTGTGGACGACAGGATCTCCACCACTATAGGCGCCCTCATCCTCAGCCTCGTCTTCCTCCTGGGTGTTCCAGGGAACCTCTTTGTCATCTGGAGCATCCTGGCACGCGCTCGTAAGCAGTCCATTACCACGCTGCTCATCCTAAACCTGGCCATCGCCGATGGCTCCATCATGGCCCTCACACCGTTCTTCATCATCTACCTCGTTCTTAAGAAGTGGATCTTCAAGAAGGTGATGTGCAAGATCCTCTTCTACCTGTGCCTGGCCAACATGTACGCCTCCATCCACATCATCATGCTGATGAGCCTCTACAGGTTGGTGGCCATCCTATGGCCCGGGCGCATCAGCACCATCACTGGCAAGAGGACTGCAATGCGGCTGCTGGCAGTGCTCTGGGCACTGGTGATCATCTCTTCAGTTCCTGCCATTATCTTCAGAGATACGAGGCATCAAAAGAATACTATAGTGTGCGACTCGTTCCATGAAAAACCCTCTCATGTGAGTGAATGACGATCTGTGCATGTTAATAAGTCTACTTTGATCAATCACGGTCTGCCGAGATCCACAAACCTGTTTCCTTCTGTCTACTTTGTGCTACGTACAACAGCTGTTCCACCGTATCCTAACCTTCACCCACTGTGCTGTTGGACCAAAAACATTCCTCCATTACCCTCGTCATCCATATTATATTTTCAGATTTTTTATTCTCCCAGAAGTTGGCCTTAGAAGTTCTGACAAGTTCCCAGTGTTTCTCAATTATTTTCTGTCATGCCCCCCCCCCCGACCCACACCCCCACGAATTGAAATACTATTGAGAACCTGATAACATGTATATGTATTTTAATCTGTACAAACCACTGTATGAGTTGCTGCCACCTAGTGACTGGAGGCTTGTTATCATTTAAGCGTTACAGCAGTGGTACACTTATGTCCAGTGTGCCATGTTCCATTGGAAGCCCCTCAAGCCCTAGGTTAAGAACTGGGTTAAGCCAATGAATTAACATAGCCATGAATGAAGAGGTGGAATTTCCACACATGATGGGATTTTAGGAGTAAACTGTACATTTTAAAGAGGGTAATTTTATCATACAAATACGATATTCAATGATAAACCAGTGTCTGACGTCACTGACTGAGCGGTCACAATTAAGATATAAATATTTCACAAAACAACTTCTAATGTCTGAGAACGTTTTCGCCTGCTCTGTATGATTTTTTTATGCTGAAAAGTCCTAGATGAAACGTGTTGTCTCTAAGAACCTCTGGACCAGCGGATTCTTCGAATTCCCCAGGTCTTCTAAGAAGGTCAAACCAGGAGGAAAAATTCCATTAACGATATGAACAAAAATTGTCTCACTTCCTTTTCCAGACGGTCCTACAGTACTCGATGGAACTGGTGCTGGGCTGTTTCATCCCCTACAGTGTAATTTTGGTCAGTTACTTCTGCATCTTACGGAGGATCCGACAGACTAAGTTCCGTCGGCGAATTCGCAGCGAGAAGCTCATCTTGGCCATTGTGCTAACCTTCTGCCTCCTCTGGTTGCCCTACCACATGGTCAACATAGTGCAGGTATGTCACCTGATGTTTTCTGGGTATTGTGGACTTTATGTAACAAGAGATTTATTTATACAACCAAGGTTCTTCATTTGTAGTGATGCTGGTCATTACTACATTCACAGTTATTGATAAAGAATCTTGATTTTCTCCCAGGTAACGTGGGCTTTTTCTCCAGAAGGTCCTTTAAAAGAAAGGTAAGTGATCACCGCACCAATTCAGCGTTTTTATGACAAAGCGGTTGTAATGAGCTACTATTAAAATTAAGTTTTCTTTGTTTGTTTTGGTTTTTTTTTTTATTAAATAGGTTAAAATGTTTTAAAGGCTTTGTGTGTTTATTAATGTACAATAAGAGATTCCTAATCTTCTATTTCTTATCTCTGGTTCCGTATTGTCCCAAAAATTTAACCCAACCAGAGAGCATCTCCATCACTTGTCTCCACAGCAGGTTACAAACTGTGACCCATATTGGGTTTATTTATATATTCGTCTGTTATACTGTGCTGGAGTAAGCAAAGGAACTGAACCGCCAGAGGGCGACATGGATTGTTCCTAATTGTATGGACATGGCGGGAAATGAGGCTTACATTCAGGATACTTGAATAAAACCTATAAAAGACTTGTAAATGATTTTTAAATTTAGAATTAAAGACCAAAAATATGCAGGACATGTGTCTGTCTGAGCGGCAGCTAAGACAATTTATAATACCGTAATTATAATAAAAATTGCAGATAATGTCATGGACAACAATATCGAAGTTGCTCAGAAATGCAGTCCCTACTGCAGAACTATTATAAGACAGTAGGGGTAGCCAAAATTCTCTTAAATCAACTATTTAAATGACTAATTAGTTCTGATGATTGGATCATTTGAAATGTTCCATAAAAATTACATGAAATAAAATAACTACAGACATGGGGTTTGTGATGGTTGCCAAAAAGTATTTGAAGTTGACTATAGAGTGTTGTGTTAATAATAGCTTTAGATGGACACCGTGTCTAATGGACACTAACAAACAACGTTGTCTTCTATCTCTCACCCACCAGGTTGAGTAGAATATGGCACAGCAGCCGTGCGGTCACCTCCTCCATAGCTTTCATCAGCAGCAGCGTCAACCCGGTGCTGTACTTCTTTGCAGGAAAGTCCTACATCCGTCGTGAAGGACTGGCATTCATGGCTCGCTTGTTTGAAGGCACAGGAATCGACCCAATCACCAGGAAGAGCAGACAGAACAGCCAGAACAGTCGGGACAAAGATAGAGAAGCTGACTCTGTCATGCTAAAGGACAAGGAATCTGGAACAAACTCTAGTTCTACTGCTAAACCATCCAAGAATGGCAAATAAACCCTGAACTTCAGTAGAAGATCTGCTCAAAACCCCCTCTGGTCTATGAACGACATTTGATTTCAGCTGGAGTGCACTACCGCAAAGCAAGGACTCGAACAAATATTCTGATGTTGCTCAACGTGGATGCAGGTAAATGGAACCTGACATGTTGCCGACGGAATGTGTGTGTTTGTGGTGTCGCTCCGACCACATTTGATGCCAACGCGGTGAGCTCAGAGCTTGGAGCTGCTCATAACTGCTGCCCAAAAACAACACTGTGGATTTAAATGTCAAATCCATAAAACACTTCATAGAATTTTACATTTTACTGAGATGTATTTTGTGCACGCTTAATAATTTGGAGTTTTCTCCATATCTGTGTTTTTTATTTTGAAGAAAACCAAACGGATGTTCTAAAGCAGCAAAAGTCAGTATTTCTTCAGTGGAGTGAAGATAAAGAGGCACCTGATCTGTGTGTACAGAAAACTCATTTAATGCACTTGTTGAACTGTTATAGCAGAAAGTGTGTATGCAGGTGTGTGTCACTGTGTGTGTGCTTGCTTATTTTAAATAAATAAATAACCACATAAATTCCACTACATTTTATATCTTCAGAATAACTTCCACGGGTTTGGTATTTATATTTAAATTTTAAATTTTTTTGTATTTATTTATTTATTGGATTGTGCAACTTGAGAAATCCTCAGTCAGGAGTATTCATCTTCAGAAACCATGCCGCATCATCTGGCCCAGGAGGGGGAAAAAAAGTTGATTTATGAAGTCAAGTTCCAGCAAGGTCTTTTCAGTGAAAAAATGTCCCAGATCTCACCTCGGGAGACTTCTTTTCTTTCAAGACTCCTCCATTTTGTTGAGTGTTCTTGAGGAGATGTTTGTGTTTGTTCTTAGTTCAGTAGGCCTCTTCTCATTAAGGCTTTTACCAGAGGTTTCTTCTTTATGAAGGTTCCTCAGCCCCTTTGAGTTTCTACTCAGTTGGCTTCTTCTTTGGAAAGGTTATTTTTTATATATTTTTTTTTGATGGCGTCCTCTAGTGGCCTCCCTAGTCATTAAAGGTTTTTCTGTATGTGGCCCTTCTCTAACTTTATAGTTTTTCTACAAGACAGCACCTCCAAGAGTGATTCTAATGTAACTTCATTGTTCTGAAGGGTTCTCCAGGGATTCTCTTTCCAAAAACCCACATTTTCCTCTTCAGAACTCTGGGCTAGCTTTCCACCAAGCTTTTCCCCATTGTCTGCCTCTATAAGGGACTTCTTCAGTGTTTGAGCTTCATCTACATCAGCTTAAGGTCTAGATCTAGTCTTCAAAGTCTCTTATCAAGGTGGCCACATTAGACTTTAAGGCTCACTTTTTAGGTTTCTACCCAACTGCTTGAAGGTTTCTTTGGTATAGTTTGTTCAGATGTGTGGTATCAACTCCATAAGACTTCTGTCTTTTCAGTTTCTTTAAATACATGGGATACAAAGAGATATCAAGATCAGACAACTTTGAAAGGATATTGTGTGTCAGAACTTTCTGACTTACCCCGATATCCTTTAACCCACCCAGCACACCTACCTGCAACCTTGACTGTTTACTTACCCGTAGGACTTGTTTCCTAAAATAGTTCCCTCATCCATTCCTCTGCTGGTAGGAATTTTCATCACACATCTGTACAGGAACTGAGAGGGTAACCAGGCCCTCCAGCAGCCTGTGGACAGTCAACGCTGCCATTGTACTGGATGTGTTCAGAGTCAGAGGAGGTGACATGAATGTCAAAGACTGAGCTGAATGAGCAGGTAGACGGCCCACGACTGACTGACAACACAAGTCACTTTACATTTACAGTGGAGAAGAAAACACAGCAGTAGAAGAAGACTCGGCCCATGTTTTGATTCAAACAAACTCAAAGGTTGACGTCCACATTAGTTTGATTTATTTTTCAATTGCTATGTTTACTTTGAGACAGAGGTTGAAATGACTTCAACAAACAAATGTTTGTTGGAGTCACACTGTACAACCCAGAAGTCGGAGGACAATGGCTGTCAACAGCCTCAGGAAGGTCAACACTAGGCTCTCGGTCATGGTATTTTCTTCTAAATAGGATAATAGGATAACTGTAGACAGAAAACCTTTTGATTTGGGGTCTAAGTATCTAATTACGTCTAAATGTCTAGATGTATTTAAAGCCACTCTCCTTAATGGTTAGCAAAGCTTCTTTGCTGTTGAGGAAACTCTTGTTATGAATTTGGAGGCAGATGACCATAAACAGGGTCTGAGTGGCTGGGCAGCCCACCACAGTAACCCACACATCCTTGTTGTTTACCCACAAACGCTAACCATTGTTACAAAGAACAGGCAGTTTGTCATGTACGTGTGACGAGTATTTGTGTTACCAACATATGCACAGAAAGTGTCTCAACATGTGTAACAAGTGGCTAAAATTCCAAAAATGTTTTCTTGGAGGAATGATTTTTCGAATGAATGAATTTTCGGCATTTGTTTTCAAATGTGTCTTTGAGTGAAATGGTCACATTTTGGTCCACTAAGTGGTCCTATTGTATGGGTCTGTGTGTGTTTCTGCTATGCTTGTAGGACAGTTAAATAGTAGTAGAAATAGTGTAGTTGTATGACATGGTTGGTTTGGGGACATTTCTGTAGGTCCACGCTGAGCAGGAAGGTGTTAGAAGTTAGTGTGTAGTTTGAAGTTAGGATTAAAATTTGGGTCAGAATTACTGAATCCAAATTACTATACTGTATTTATAATAGTTAAAGGAAAGAGCGTGGGAGGGTGGGGGGGGGGCATTATGTCTGTAAAGGGTTGTGTGTGTGTTTGGTTTTTTGGGATGCAGATGTGAGGAGGCGTGGCCTTGCCTCTTTATAAAGACTCCTGTCTTAATGTGACAACATCACCATCAGCAGCTGCAGTGAACGTCTGTGTAAGTTTCTCATGTTATTTATTTACTTGTTTTTTCAATGATTGTTTGATTAATCGCTTATTTATCAAACACTAATTTTTTTCACAAGGTCTTAACTTTGAGCTTGTCTTGGAGTTTAGATGAATAGATACTGTATGTCCAGACATCCATCAAATCATCTTTTTAAATCCTTAATATAATTTGCTGTTTCTATAAATGCAGTTTTTATTTATTTGGGCTTTTTCAAACCCCAACTTTAACACCCTAACCCTCAAATAATTTTTCTACATGGCAAATTATATATATATATATGTGTGTGTGTGTACATATAATCTTTTTGATATTGTATTTTACATCTGTATATATTTGAAATAGTAAAGATAATTTAATTTTCAATTTTAAATGAATTGATCTTTCTAGTTTACTTTCAAATAGTGCCATATAATAAATAACCCTAGTTAGTTATTTTCCTTGAATTATTTACTTTATGTGACATGGCATTTTAACCACTTGCTCTGTATGTGAGGGTTAGTGGATTTAGACCCTTCTTTTCTTTTTCTGTTCAAAGCTGTGATCATTTTTGTAATAGAACTGTTAAGGTGAAAAGTGTATTTATGCTTTGTTAAAAAAACCTAATTTTCCTTATGCCTTGGTGCATGAATCAGGAAGACACAACAATGGGGCAGTCCGGGTCCAGACTTAACACCAATCCCTCTCACATTCGCCGGGTTCGATTCTCTTTTGACACTGGTGAATCTGCTGGTGGCAGACGACGAGACAGTGACTTTGAAATTCCTCCGCCGATTTCAGACCTAGATGTTGGGCACAGGTTTGTCCTCATAGCTCTTAACATCACATGTCAAAATGAAATCACCTTAAACTAGAATAGATTCCTCCCTCTGTATGTTTCCAGGCCTGGCTGCCAGGCAGCTCCACTATCCTAACCATCTTTTGATTCATTTTCATGTTAAACAGTGAATCAGAGCGCAGGGGTTCGAGGGCAGAGCTGCGCAGATCATCCATCTACAGCACCTTAGACTTGGTACCGCAGCTAGAGTACTACACCAGTACTTTGCCACGCTGGCAGAGGAGGAGTCGTCCTTCTCTGGAGGTTCTCCGCAAGACAACTGATGTAAGATTTTCAACATAAATGTAAAGACAGACGAAGATCATTTAAAGCATTGAATAAAAAGTACATTAGTTGTGTTTTCTATCCAGACATGAAAGTAGTGCTTGTCTGTCCATAGACTCAGTATAGATTCAGAGAAGCTATGCTGCTTTGACCATAAGGGAAAAGAACTAAAAAACTCGGCAGGAGGTGGTCCAGTGACTGCAGTAGTGTAAATAGTGTAGAGAGATCTGGTTTAGAGTCAGTTTCTGGATCATTATTAGGAACACGAGACTGCCAGCAGCATAGAGAGAAATGTCCCTTTCTTTGCACAGTCTATGCATCCAACACTTGGTCTCTCCAAGGACATGGAGGCAGGAAACACCAGCAGGTCAGGATCAGTCAGCAATCTCCCAGACAGTGAACTACAGGATTCTGGCAGAAAACCGCCAGCACGGTTAGGCTGGATGACGGGAGTCATGGTGAGTGAAAACACGTAGAGAATCAAAACATCTTGTGAAAAAAAAGTATTGTGAGTGTATTCCAGCTGTTAATGATATCATCCCTGAACTGTTTGTCTCAGTTGAGGTGTATGCTCAACATGTGGGGCGTCATCCTGCTTCTAAGACTGTCCTGGATCACGTCTCAGGCTGGAATCTGTAAGTTCTAAAATGATGAGAAAAACAACAACAACCTTCAAATGCCCTTATTTCTTTGGTTATTGAGCTGCTGAGCAGAAAATCAACGACACACAAGAATACAACTTGTGTTATATCCACAGTAGAGTTGTTTAATGACGACGCAGAGTGAAGTGAATGAGAGCGTGGCCCACAGACAAGGGGAGATGCTGAGAGATGCTATGATGCATGAGCCAATCAGCGTGAGGGACAGAAGAGCATGCCCAATTAGCCAATAGGACACAGAGTACGCATTGTATTAGCCAATAGTCAATAGCCAATGCTGTGTACGATCTCATCTAGGTAAACAAAGGCACCAGCGATCGTTCGCAAATGTTCTTATCTCAATTTCAAAACGAAAATCCACATTTTTAAAGCCAAAACTGTTTGTATGTATAATTATTTAATGTCTTTTAGTTTAGTTTTTGCTATATCTTGCAATATAGCGAACATTTTGCAGATCGGATTAAAAAAGAAATCTGCAATATACTGGGGGAGTGAAGGGAGAACGGTGATATAAAGAGGGAACACTGTACATGTTAATTTTCTCCCTTCCTTTGACCCTGTCCAGTGCTGACCTGGCTGATTATCCTGTTGTCTATGATGGTAACCACGGTAACTGCTCTTTCCATCTCTGCAATGGCCACCAATGGGAGAATCACATCAGGTGAGTCTGGTTTGTGAGTCTCTTAGGAAGTAAAACCATAGTAGTAAGAGTTTTGAAGATAATTCGAGGTCCTCTGTGCCTTTATTCTCAGGTGGGTCCTACGTCATGATCTCCCGCTCTCTGGGCCCTGAAATCGGGGGCCCCGTCGGGATGATCTTCTCCTTTGCCAACACTCTGGCTTGTGCACTCAGCACAGTGGGCTTTGCAGAGGTGGTCAGTGATTTACTGCAGGTAAGTCCAAAATCTAAAAAAGTTTTCCTAAATTCCACAGGCATCTGTGATTCAGATACGTCCTATGCCCTGAGTGTTATCATTGAGCTTTGTGATCGTGTTTGTAGGCGTTTGATGTCACCATGGTCAGTTACATCAACGACATCCGTATTATTGGTGTGATCACCGTGACTGCCTTTCTTCTCATTTCATTTGCTGGAATAAGATGGGATTCCAAGGTGAACACCCTGTGGTCTTTTTGACTTTGACTGAGTACAAACGAGTCTTAGCTATCACTAACTTTGCCTTTTTTTTTTGTTCCTGCTCTCTTTAGACACATGTTTGGTGTTTCATGTTGGTTTACATAGTGTCTTTTGCCAATTACTTTGTGGGTACAGTCATTACTCCAAGTCCACAGACACAAGCCCAAGGCATCTTTGGATACCGCAGTGAGTTTGTTTGTTTGTTTGTTTGTTTTACACTTCCAACTGCTATAACTAAAAATCTTTAATGATAAAAAAAGAATTGAATTACATGTACTGAGTTATACTCTGTTGATTTTTTATCAGGTGACATTTTTGTATCCAACCTCAAACCTGACTGGCGTGGCCCTGAAGGCACCTTTTTCCAAATGTTTGCCATTTTCTTCCCCTCCACCATCGGCATCCTGTGTGGAGCCAACACCTATGAAAACCTCAGAGTACGATTTGGCTTTATGTACCAGAGACCACAGCTGTTTAAAACATACAGTAGTGTTCACATTGTTTTCTTCCCTGTTACAGGAACCCAGCACTGCTATCCCCAAAGGCAGCCTCATGGCCATTTTGTGGACCACAATTAGCTATTTAGCCATCTCAGCAACCATCGGTGAGCTGCCTGTCATTTTTAACTGGATCTCTATGTGATATATATCTTTTCATAACTGCTTATGTGCTGGCAAGACTAACCTACAAAAAAGGCATTAGAATTACTGGAGAACATATTAATTAGTATGAAGTAAAAAAGAAATGATTCTATACATATGTTTTCATGAAAAGATCCAGCATTACCTCCAACCACAAAAAAGTTCTGATCTTTTGAAAAAAGTCTTGGTTTGAGTTTTTTTTTTTTTTTTTCTCCCAGGATCTAGTGTGATACGAGACGCTTCTGGAAACATCAGTGACATTGTAACAGCAAATGTCACTGATTACTGTGTGGGCCTTGGATGCAACGTGGGCTGGAACTTCACAGCGTGCACGGATCTGCAGTCTTGTAAATACGGTCTGGCCAACAGTTTTTCGGTATGATTTCACCAAAGGTTTGGCTTCTAATGTTTGTCCATCAGAGACGTTTCCAGAAATACTAAAATGACTGGGTAAAAACTATTCCTATTCACCATTACTTTTACAAACAGGTCCTGGGCCAAGCCTCTGGTTTTGCCTATCTGGGAACAGGTGGTACTTTTGTGGCCAGTTTGACGTCTGCTCTTGGCTTTTTTGTTTCCGCTCCTAAAATCTTTCAGGTGAGAAACCTCATGCAAAATATTTATTAAACAATAAAAACTTCTAAATGAGTCTAACACACAAACTCACTCTGAAATTCTCTCCCTTTTAAATCTGTCAGCATTTATGTAGAGACAACATTTATCCATACATTGGATTCTTTGCAAAAGGTTATGGGAAAAGAGACGAGCCACTCCGGGCGTACCTCCTGTGCTACGTTGTTGCATCAGCCTTTATAGTTATCGGTGAGCTCCAGCTCTTAGAAGTTGTATTTTGTTCTCAAGTTTTAAACATTGGAGATTGGGGTTGTCACACATTTCTCGGTCTTCTCTACTGACAGCTGATCTGAACACTATCGCAGTTTTGATCTCCAACTTCTTCCTGTGTTCCTACTGCCTCATCAACTTTAGCTGCTTTCATGCTTCCATCACCAACTCACCAGGTGAGTGACCTTCAGCGAATGTGGGGAATACTCTTGAACCACCACTGTAGTGGGTGTGGATAAAATCACCTCCATTATACCTGTACTACTAGGCCTAAACAGTCTCACCGTTGCCCCCACCTGGACACAAAATGCTTATACTTCTACCACAGTTGGTGCAAGTGAGGTGCAAGCATGATGTCCAAGCAGAATAATAAAAGCCTAGTGACTATATATGGTCCACTGATAAACATATCAAGTTTCAGTATAACAAATGCCTCTCTGTTGCCCTCTAAAGGTTGGAGACCGTCATTTAACTACTACACCAAATGGACAGCTTTGTTTGGGGCTGTGAGCTCTGTGGTCCTGATGTTCTTGTTCACCTGGTGGGCCGCTCTCATCACCGCCTGCGTTATTTTTTTCCTCTTTGGATATGTCAACTACAACAAGCCAAGTGAGTCTGAAACGATACTGTTTTTCTTCTTCTTTGGTCAGTTTCTTTTTTTCTCATTTCTGGTGTTTGTGCACTCATGACCTCAGAGGTGAACTGGGGCTCTTCAGTCCAGGCAGGGATATACAACATGGCTCTGTCCTACTCTGTCTCCCTGACAGATGTGGAGGATCACGTCAAGAACTTCAGGTAAACAATTTGAACATATTTATATTTACCCCTACACATATTGACATTATCAAGTTTTAATTTCTGGACCATATTACAGACCCCAGTGTCTCGTCCTAACCGGGTCCCCGAACCAAAGGCCAGCCCTGGTGGACTTTGTCTCCTCCTTCACCAAGAACATGAGTCTCATGATCTGCGGAGACATTGTCAGAGTCAGTAATTCAGACATGAACCTTGGTTCTAGGAAACAGGTGTCGGCCGACTTTGTCTTTTGCCCTAAAATGTATTTGTTCTGGTCTTCAGGAGCAGGACAGTCAGACACGAACACCTGACACTACAGAATGGCTGGTGAAGTGGTTGAACAAGAGAAGGGTGCGTTCGTTTTATACTCCTATCACCACTGACAGTCTCAGAGTCGGAGCCCAACACCTGTTGCAGGTACAAAAATCTAAAATTGGTAAAACTTTGTTTTCATCTATGACCTATGACCTTCGTCAAATTGGTGTTTTCTTTTTTAAATGATCGTTACATAATTAAATGTCCATAACCATAACCATGATTTGTCGGTCTATATATGACAGTCACACAACCCATTGGATTAGATTAGTTTAGGTTAAATACAATGGGACTAGATCAGATAACATTTCATTATATTAGAATAAACCTTAACTTTAATGACATTACTTTAGGTCTAGCGTAAAACAGATTTTAAACTCACCTGATTGAATTGGCTCAGATTACATTTGGATTAGACAGGATTGGACTGGAGTAGACCTGGTTAGTTAGTTTGACTCCTTGGTAAGAATACATTTTTGTGGATATGTTTATCCAGGATTGGCTTTAATCTGACCTGACCTAACCACCACTAGTTTAGATTTAACCTAAACTAAAGTAGTCAAACTCGTCTTCATAAAACTAAGCTAGACTAAGACCACACTGCGTTTGGATACAATTGAATGTAACATATTAAGAATAGGCTTTAAAGATCCATAAACACCATAAAGGTGTATTAATGTATGTCATTGTTTACATTTGACTGAATTTTCAGTCCACTGGTCTCGGCAAATTAAAGCCCAATACTCTGGTTCTGGGCTTTAAGACCAACTGGAGCCAGAGTTCTCCAGAGGGCATCGAAGATTACATCCATACCATTTTGTAAGTCCAGAACAATGTTTGACTGTTGCACTTGATGTGAGAATGTGATGCTAATCTTTATTCGCTTGTCTACAGTGATACATTTGATTCCAACTTCTCCGTATGCATCCTGAGGATGATGTATGGACTGGACGTGTCCGACCAGTTTATCTTTGAAGGTTAGAGACACAAATGTCCATGTTCTCGGCCTTTTGTTGGCTGTATGATTCCCTCCCTAATACATTCTTGCATATTTGCGTTTATCCCCCTCCCCAGAGAACCCTGTCTTTGAATCTGACGATAATGATAAACAGCAGCTTCCTGACATAGAACCAGGTGAGAACTTCCTGTAAATACAAACTTCAAGAGCAGGTGTAAAAGGAGCATTACCCCTGGTACACTATCCTGGACTTGGTTGAAACAATACATTTGAATTTCTAATACTTTAGGAAGAAAATTGACCTATTGTTGACTGTTCTGCAGTTGACCCTCCCTACAGTGGAGGAGACAGTGATCAGACGAGGACAGTCTTTCAGAACGACCAGAGGAAGAAGACCATCGATGTCTACTGGGTGGCTGATGACGGGGGTGAGACATTCAAACTGATTGGCTAAGACAATCTTCAGTGTAATATACTGTATATTCACTTGTGGTATAAATTGAACACTTTTTTTTTTCTTTTCAATATTTATGAGCAAGCCTTCAGTTGTCTTTGGCCCCTAGCTTGCATTAGCATAATTTGGCTAAACAATTTGTAATTTAGCTTCTCTTCATGCCTTGTTGACAGTGTTACCTTGTCTATGAAATGGTTTCTGGAAATTAATTATCCCTCATATATAGACATTTGTACACAATTTTGACATACTTTTCAGTCTTTTTTGAGGGTTTTTTTTTGGTTATAGGTAAGCTAAGCACAGAGTAGCTTACTTTCTTCTACCTTAAATATTAAAGTTCTACCTTTCTTAGGACCATGTCATCAGTGAATGTGAAATAATACATCTCTTTCATTTATTCTTACATTTTATTTGAAGCTAATGTTAGGCAACCATTTTGCTTCTGACCTATCGTAAAGCTTAGCTTGATCAAAGTTGACACGGCCTCCCTTTGTATCTTCCAGGTCTAACTCTACTGGTGCCGTATCTGTTTACCAGAAGAAAACGCTGGAGAAACAGTAAAGTCAGGGTCTTCATTTTGGGAGATGAGCAAAATGTGGAGGAAGCACGCAACAAGTGCGATTCTTTGTTCTTCCGTTTGATGTTACTGCACAAGTTCTCGATAAAACTTTAGTTGAAGTTTTTCAGCTAATAAATGCTGCTGTAATTCTATGTTTTTTAAACATTTTTTTATTAGAATGTTGGCTCTGCTGAGGAGGTTCCGCCTGGACTTTAACGAGGTCATTGTGATAACAGACAGTGAGAAGCAACCACACACCAAAAAGTATGTATACACATGTCTGAAAACCACTTTTTGGACCAACATGTGAGAGGCCAGCCAGGCAACTAACTCTTCTATTTCTCAAGCCTTAATCGATTTACAGACACCATCGCCCCCTTCAGGCTGTTTGATGAACAACAGGAGGAGGTCTCCGTGGAGGAGCTCAGGCGTCAAAACCCGTTGAAAATATCTGACCAAGAGTTTGAGATGTTCAGGTGGAAGGTGAGTTGACTAAAAACACCAGACCGATGAGCACAGCATGACTTTTTGTGACTACATTCTCTGACTATTTTTTGGTGTTTTTTTCCTCTTCAGTCTGAAAGGAAAGTGAGGCTGAACGAAATCATGCGGAGTAATTCACAACACGCTGCTCTCCTGCTGGTGTGAGTAAAGCCAATAATCACTGGGACAGTGATGTGCAAGTGGGGGATGAAAATAAAAAAAACATTGAAGTCGGTCTTTTTTTAGATTCATTATTTTAAAGACCAAATAAAGACACATTTGCTTGAATGGATTTTCCATTCTATATTAAAAATAAAACACAACGCCCACCCCCCCCACTTCCCCCCACCCCCAGCACTGGAGAAACGTTTATATATAGTCATCAATATTTCGTTGTTTTTATTAGACAATTTACAGCAAAGCATATTGTGTTTTGTTAGTATAATACTGTAGAAAACTACAAGCGACCACACACCGAGCTCTGTTACATATTTTGGTCAAAATATTAAGAACCACAGCATTCAGTGCCTAAATCGTCAGATTCTCAAATGTCTGGCGGTACTTGAACGCCCCTCGTTGCGGACACGTAATAGAAGATATTCAATTTTTAAAAACTTTATATTAAAACATTTTCATTTCAATATTCACACAGACATGTCTTTCTCCCACTTTGAAGCAGATCCTTCAGCTAGGGACTTGGTTATGTTATTATGACTGGAAATCCAATATGGAAAAATCTTTCAGTCTTGAAATTGTATGATTCATGTTGTTAGACAAAGTTCAGTGAGTTTTCCGACTGTATATTAACGACAGTTACACACTTTTCGGCGACACGGGCTGGCCTCTGCTTGAAAGAGGACGCAGCGACGTTCACCTGTTACCCACTGTGTCTGTGGAGCTCAGTACTCACCGCACATCACTGCCATCTATCAGTACGGCACGGTACTTTCTGCCTCAGTCTGTACATTTTCTTTGTGCGTTCACGGCCAATTAGAAAGACCATCTCGCGCTTCTCCCATGTATTTGAACGGGAAATGTGTAAAAAGCAGCGTTTGTTCCCACTCCTAAATATAATGTGTTCATTTCCACCACACAGAAGCATCCCTGTGCCACAGAGAGACTGCCCCAGTGCTCTGTACATGGCCTGGCTGGACACTCTGACCTACGGCCTACACTGCCCGGCGGTGCTAATACGAGGAAACCAGCAGAATGTCCTCACGTTCTACTGTCAGTAAGACAACACACCTGAGGAATGGACATGTCTCAGTGGGGCAGCCTTTGATCACTTAATAACCTGACAACAAAGGAACTTTACTTATGGAAATGGATTTAGAGATGTGTTTTAAGGTGGACAGGTTTCATGATGGATTTATGATTAACAACAACAGTTTGCATTTTGACTACTTGCTTTCTTAATAACAATCACACGCTTTTTAAACAGAAATTTAACAAAACAAGGCACATTCACCTTTCCCTAAAGTTCTTTATTCTGTTTGAGGATTTTCTGTATTTGGTAAAATCTCAATGTGTAAAATAAATTGAAGTAGTCATTTAGTTGTTTCAACGAGGGGCTGGGAAAGTTCCTCTTACGCAGCTAATGAGTGCATAGCTGTGAGAGGTTTCAAAGTTATACCATGTGACTGGAGGTCTTTATGAAGATGTGACCGCTGAATTGATGTCAAATATTTAAAGATTCCTTCTTCTGAAATGTTAATTCCCAGTGTTTAGGAAAATAAAAAATAAAAGACCCCATTTATTCATGAAACAAAACAACACAAGACAAGAGATAGCATATATGAGTAATTCACAGAAGGATTGAGAAGCATGGTTGTTAGTAAATTATCAGAGTTTTCAAACTACAGCTTTGAAACTGAGCATCACTTACAAATGAATTGCCTATGTCTTGCAGTTTTCATACTGTGCATTTTGTATTTTTCTTCTTTCTATATTTTGCATTATTTTTTCATTCATTTTTGTTTTTGGTTGTTTTGATGTGTAGAAAAAAAATTCCCATACAATCATAATTGTCTTTCTTATGTTTTCTTTTATAATGACAGAATTTTGACAACCTTTGACCTATCTACAGTTCTATCTACGATTGGCTTCATTTAACCCCTTGTGAATTTAACTTTTCAAACTGAAAATAATTATGGATGGATGGTGTGAGTCAGAAGCTCAGAGAGCAGCATCAGAGTGAAGGTCTTGGGGGAAGAGGTTTTTACACAGTTGTGTTGTTAGTTGTGTTAATTTTGAATTATTTATAAATAAACAGGACTGACATTGAACTGTGTTTGTAAACTTACAATGGCATAGCAGAAGCTGATGGAACCAAAAACAACTAAAATGCTGCAAAAAATATCTTAAACCAGTGGTTCTCAAACTTTGGTACGTGTACCACCAACGGTACGTGTACCACCAACGGTATGCGAGCACTTTCTAGTGGTACGCAGGGATATTCATATTTTCACATTTACATTTTAAACTGAATAAATCTGAAACGTACCATGCACAATTAATACAACATTTAAACATAAACATCTTTCTAAACATCTCTCCTGTGGTGGAAGCTAACAGGGAAGGCCTCTGCTGCTATATTCTAATGTTGGTCATCATGGTGGTACTCAGAGAGATCAAGGTTTACTCAGGTGGTACAGAGTAGAAAAAGTTTGAGAACCACTGTCTTAGACAGATAATGTGGTGAAGAATATTGTGTAAGGTCATGTAAGGGCCAGTTCAGAATAACAGTATGTAATAATAATATCACCAAGCACTGACAGGAAGAAGCTGTTGCCTGACGCCCTTACATATTGGACATGTTTATCTGGTCACTAGGAGAGAGCTGAATAACAGCCAAATATTATGTAACATTGTCATATTCGCTTTGTCTATAAAAAGGATCAGCATGTAGCAGAAGGTGGGATTTGTTGGTGAATGTTCAGATGAGATTTGTTGTTGGACCTGCCACGGTCAGAAACCCAAAATTATGTTAGTCAGACTATAGCTCAGGGTTAGCTACACGGAAGACACAAGCTGTTGTAAAAGCATAAAGCTACAACGTTGCACAGAATTAGAATTTGATTATCCAAACATTAAGCGTTAGCCATCAATTGATAATGTCACCTAAGGTTGTCCAAGAGAAAAGGTCATATATACTGTCACAAAATATGCGAAATTCCGCGGTAGTTACGGAATAATCACACATAGACTTCAGCTGTGACCGCGGGGAAAATGGATAACAGCTTCTTATTTCTTCTTCACGACCGCTGAACAAGATCTCCTGATTTTTTTTTTAAAGCCAGTGCTAGTGTAATAATTAAAGTATTCACGTATCAGAACAGGATGTGCTCTTACAGTGAAAACTTAGTTGTCTGGCCTCTACCTATTGACATTTCCTTTGTTGGTGTTACACCCATCAAACAGTGGAGGGCGCAGTTGAGACTCTAGGTCGGGTGCACTTGGGCAGAGAGTACCCGACGTGAAGCAGCATTCGGTTGTATTTCTCGGTTTTTGTTTGTTTGTGTATTTTCTGACCCGCAGGAATTGACCAAGCATGGAGACTTCAGATTTTTACACACATGCGGTGTTCTTCCAGTGTGACGGTATGGGGGCTGATATGCTCCGCAAGATCAAGAACTATTTCCAGATTAAACGTAAATCAGGAGGTGGAGAGTGTGGTCGTGTGACCAAAGTGGACGACAAGTTTTACAGCATCGCATTTAAAGACAAGGACGGTGAGAAAATTAATTTTTATTTTGTATTTTAAATACGTCATTTCCTATATTCTGCTAAAACCGAAAGTATATCTGACCGTAAGACGACATTTAAAGTTAATATATTCTAAGTTGTTATTTTAACTCCCCCAAAAACAGGTTATTAGCTTTCTTTTGTTGTTGTTTTCAGTTTAGCTAAACTACGGCATACTTACGGGAAAGCAGTCCTATAAATGTATTTACTTTTGGTTTTACTTTCTCAAAGGGGCAGTCCAGGAAAACTGCATATAGAAACAAACAAAAAACACTAATAACATATTTTCACTTTGTCAGTTGACGTTTGTATGTCAGACTTTACAGATTAGAAAACCTGAGCTTTTTCATTAATAACAATATTAATAATAATAATAATAATTACATATAAACTACTGTATTTGAATTGAACCCAAATATATGACCAACCATTTAGTAGTGATCGTTGTTATTATAATTATTTAAAAGCAATTTTAAAAAGAGGGAAAATACCATTCTGAATTATTTTCAACAAATTAAGCCAAGATGTGTGGAGCAGAATAGGTCAAGGTGCGCTACTTCCGCCACCTGGATATCTTTATCCTATCTCTATCCTACTTTTGTGCAATACCTCCCTGGTAAATGAATTGTTTAAAAGTGAAACCAAATATATTCAGTCTCTGTCATATTTATTATACAATACATGATTGTAAATGATCAAAAAGAACTTATTATAACTACACAATGACAAAAATATTATTTTATTGCAATACTACAACTACTGATAAGAAAGAATAATAATTGTATTTTCATTTGATTTATTTTTCTTCTACTTTGTTTTAATGGTTTTTGTTATGTTGTAATGGTTATTTGTTGTTATTATTTATCACTTTTCTTAATACCCAGGTCCTGCGGAATTGTTATTTTTTGAGCTGCTGAAATGTATTTTTCTTACATGCATGTAGTATATACACACACACATATATATATATATATATATATATGTATATATATATATATATATATATATATATATACAAACATATAAATGCAAATGCATCAATGGAGATGAGATGACACAGTCAAAATTGTAATTTATGTTAGCCCAAGAGAGAGTCCTGCAGAGGAGAGACCATCAGTTGACGTTAGAAGGAGGCCCCCTGGTGCTCACTGTCCAGAGCAGCCCAGAATCTGGAGCCTCAGCTCCTCTCGTTGCTTCTACTACAGGCCAGGTTCCTACTACTACACCCCTGGACTTGTCTTCAACCACGGTGATTGCAGAAATCCTTCACAGACAATCTAACAGCCATCAACTTTTATTGTTTTAGTGTGTAGTAATACTGTTGGTAAGATGACAAATATTTTAAATCTTTTGTGCAGAGTCCACAGTCTGTCGAGTATGAGCTACCCTGTGAGCGCTACCTCCTTCAGTACATTCAGGAATGTGAGAAACCTAGAAAAGAGTTGGAGGCAGAGCTTGCCTTGTTGGACTGCTCTCTTCAGCTTTACCCAGACCAGGAGAGGGTTCTAGTCAGGAGAGCTGCTCGGCCTGGTGCTACAGATGAGAGAAAGAGCTGGAGACATGAAGTGAAAAAGCTCTTTGCTAATTACCAGTGCCACTTTGAGATGGACATGCACAAAGTCAAGGCTTTGCTGAAGTCCAGCAGCTCTCAGCAAACCTCTGATGACGTGAAGGTGTATGAAGAACTCGGTCTAGCTGTGGTTGTTGGGAAATGTGCCATGGTTCGTGCCAGGTTGGAAAGGGCGGTGGAGTTAGTAGATAAAACTCAGAGGCCCGGTGTATCTGACAGACAGGTCAGACTGGGTGAAGCCAAACTCCGCCTCCTCTGGCCAGAGATAGATCAAGGTTTGAGACAGAAACTTCCAGGTGTTAAATTTACCCAGGTGGATTCTTGTAATGTAGTTTTAGAAGGTTCTTTGAAGGACATTGTTGAGGCTCGTGAATCGTTGACCATCTTACAGGGTCTGGTGGTTGAAAATATCGTGTCTGACATGAGCCCTCAACTTTTGACCTTTCTCAGGGAAGCTTACGGAGGTGCGCGGGGGCTTCGCTTTTTTTTAGATGTTGATGATGGCGTTGAAATCGACTTACGAGACACAGAGCTCCGGTTCCTCTCCCTGTCTGTGGATAAACTGAACGCGGCGGTAACTAGAATGAAAAAAAGATTCAAAACAGTGGAGAATTGTTTGCCTGGCTACCTCACTGTTCCACTTGAGCTGCAGTGCCGGCTTAAATCCTTGATGAGTGAAATGAACCAAGGACAGTGCAAGGTTGAGGCTTTGTTTGGCCCAGGTGGCACCGTTTGTTTACTGGGCCAGACCGAAGAAGTTAAAAAGCTGTCGGATATTGTCAACCAATTTGTTTTGGGTCAAACCAGAATGGAGGAAAAAATCAGTCTTCCTTTTCCAGGGTTAGAGCAGGACCTAGCAGAACTGCTTCACCTTCAAGGCTTTAACCATGAAGCGGTTACTTTCCACCCTGAGCCACTGTCTGTTCCTCCCACAGTGGTTCTGGCAGGGCTCTTCAGCAGAGTGGCCGAGGTTAAAACCAGGTTATGTTCATTTTTAGATTCTCTGGTACAGGGCCATGTCTCCATCAACCTGCCGGGGGCAGTAAGGTTTTTTCAAAGTCTACCTGGACGTGAGAGTATTTCAAAAGTATCCAAATCTCAAAAGTGTCTAATCAAGCTATGTGATCAGTCTAGAGCTACCCCTAGTGATGAGGACACCATGACAGTTGCTACGTACACGCTCCGTGATGGGCCCCAGGTGGTGGTTTGTCAGGGTGACATCACCAAACAGAAAGCTGATGCCCTGGTTAATGCTGCCAATGAAGATCTAGAGCACTATGGAGGTGTTGCTGCTGAGCTGAGTAGAGCAGGTGGCCCCACAATACAAAAGGAGAGTCGTGTTATAGTCAAGTGTGTTGGTAAAATCCCTACAGGTGATGTGGTGGTGACCACAGGCGGGCACTTATGCTGTAAGACACTCCTGCATGTTGTTGGTCCTCGAGCTGGAGCTGTAGGTGGTAGGGAAAAGTCCTTGATTATAAAAGCAGTCGGTTCGGCTCTGCATATGGCTGAAGAAATGAAGCTGGAGTCTATAGCCATCCCTTGTATCAGCTCAGGAGTGTTTGGCGTTCCTGTAGTTGTGTGTTCTGGGGCTATTGTGAGCGCTGTAAGTGAATTTAGTAGTCAGAGAGGGCGTAGTCTAAAAAAAGTCATCCTGATTGACAAGAGTGTGGCTGTGGTGAGTGCCTTGGACAACGCCTGCCAGAGGCTTTTCCAAGGAATCGGTACCAAAGTTGGTGAGTCTCAGTTAAAAGCTGCCCCCATTCACCCACTTGGAGGAGCTGCTGGTGGACCTCCGGGAGTTGTCCATGTTGAAATGGTTCAGGGAACGGTGGAGACTCAGCAGGTGAGAAACTCCACCACATTATTAAATAAAGATCCTACCAACTTACTGGAAGAATCCATTTTCCTCTAGGTAGATGCACTGGTATCTCCTATGGTTGGACATAATCTTCTGTCCAGCCGCATTGGGGTTGATTTGAACAACATGGTTGGGCCTCAGCTGAAAGCCAAGTTCAATAAAGACGCAGGACGAGCAACAGCACCAGGTGAGATAGTGGTGCTGGACGGGCTGCCCAACCTTACATCTAAAGCAGTGTTCTTTGCTCATCTTATGCCCTGGGATAACAACCAAGATGGAGCAGCAGTGCAGGTATAGCACATATATATATATACATATATATACACAGTACAACACAAGAGCAGACGTGTGGTTCAGAAAGCTCACATAAGGGCCAACAGCTCTATCTGTGATACTACAGAATATTGTTTAGCGACAATTTGTCCAACTTTATTGTAAGTCGCTGTAAAGTCAGCAGTAGCTTAAAGGCTAAATGAACTTCAAGAGAATGAAGAAAATGAACTAGGCCAAGAGAATTACCCAACATACAGCTCAAGTTAGCATCTGCTGGGACTAGTACCGATCCTTACATTGGTTGATTTTTCCAGGTTCTCAGACAATGCATGAGAAAAGTACTAGCATCTTGTCGGATCAAAGGCTTTACTTCACTTGCTGTCCCAATCCTCGGGACCGGTGCTGTCCTTAAATTCCCTCATGGCCTTGCGTCCAGAGTTCTTTTAGAGGAGGTTCATCAGTTTGATGAGGACCAGGCCAGTGGATCTTCGTTCCTGGTCCGTTTTGTCATTCATCCATCAAACAGAGAACTGAAAAAGGTACCAAAAAAAAAAAAAACATTTTATAAGGAAAGAGCTCCTTGTTGTCGTTTTTCTTAAATCTTTCCATTTTCCTCTGTAGGCGTTTGAGGAGGCTCAGGAAAGTTTAAATGTCAGAGGATTTGCGGGAACTGACAATTCTGACAATTCAAGTTCTGATGAGGACACAGATACCTACACAACCTGGCTGGGCACAGTCAAACTTCAGATGATCCTGGGCAACATCCTGAATGCACAAACTGATGTCATTGTTAACTCGACTGATTTCTCCGGCAACCACTCAGGTACAAGTTACGGCTAACATTTTTGATGTTTTCTAATTCATTGTTTCCCTGCAGAGATCGCCCCCTACTGGACACTGCATAACTACGTTATTTACTTGAAAATGTAGCACCTTTTTTTTCAACCTAAAATTATGATTTAAAATAAAATAGAAAAAAAATGAATCTGCCTGTTTTTTATATTTAAAACTAAAGCTAAAACAGCTAAAACATTAGGTTTTCTATCAATTTTATGCAGTATCTTCTATGGGGAAAATAATTCCCTCCTGCAATACTCCTATGTGCTGTTAGTTTGGAAAATGTCTATTTGTTGCAGCTTCTTTGTACACATCAAACTGTGTTGTCTCACATCACAGGTGTTTCCAAAGAGATTCTGACCGCCGCTGGGCCGACCGTCCAAGCAGAGCTAACAAGATGTAAGTTGTTCGGAAATGTCCCAAGAAAAGTACCTGTAAAAAGGTTGTTGGGCAGAGTGAACACACTTTGAAAAGCTGGGGTTTTTTTTTGTTTTTTGTTTTAATTTTTTCCTATTTTGTCAGTGGGCACTCCGGCACACTACTTTTGCACCACAGGACCCGGTTTGCTTGGCTGCAGAGAAATCATCCACGCTACATTCAAATGCAGCCCTGAGTTGATTCAGAAGAATTGCAAGAAGATACTGCAGCAGTGTGAGGACAGAGGCTACCAGTCAGTAGCCTTTCCTGCAATCAACACTGGTTTGTACAGTTTACACAGCACACAATTCCTCAAATTCCCATTAATACTCATTTGAGCCAGTGTTTTTAGGGACTTTGTTGAATTCATGTTCATGACCCTGTGCCAAAGATCATATTGAAAATCAGCATTTGGGCGACTGGATTCTCAAATAAAACAGCGCTGTATTCAAAAATGTCTCTAACATCACGTTAAATCACATTGAACTCTGCGCTGATTTTTTTTTCTGGTTGGAAAATTAAATTAACTTAAACAATGACTTTTTTTATTATTATTATTATTATTAAGTGTGTAGTTAATTCACGCCTTGAAAAATTGCAGCAGGTTTTTTTAAAGAGAGAAATTATTTAGAATGGGTTTATTGTTGAAATATCAATATTTGGTGCCAGTATATCGGTAATCAAGACCAAATATTGCGATAAATCGTAGAATCAACATTTTAGCATGGTCCTAATGTAGTGTGGAGTGATTTTCTCTCTGTCCACACTGGAAGCCACAGATGTGGTGCCAGTGTGGGTTCCTGTTAGATTCACACTCATATTCTGATTTGTCTTCAGGTGCAGCAGGTATGGACTTTAGGAAAGCCTGTCAAGCCATGTTGGACGGCATTACGTTAGCAGTTAAAGAGTTACAACCCATGTCCCTCTCCCTCATCCACATTGTTATCTTCAAACAAAACGTCTTCCAGGCCTTCAGGTCAGTATTTCACACCTGGTAGCAAATGACAGGCGGGTTGATGTTTCACTGTGAATTGTTGATCGTCTGACTTTCTGCAGATCAGAGTTGGAGAGTCGTTTTGGACAAACCGTCCCTGGCAGCACTGATATGAGAGGTTTGAGACTCCACATAAAAATCTACATCTTTTGGGAAAATTTCACTTTGTTCTCATTAGCTTTGGAATGACATCATTCAAACAGCCTTGTTTGCATGCCAACAACATGTGGGCCATTAAAGTAAAGCTAACATTTTTGACTCGAATTCTGTGATTACCAACGTTGGTAACTTTGGGCTAACGTACATTCTATTTGGTATAAGTAATTTGCTTTGATACAGTTGCTTTGTGTATTAGCATGACTGCTAGCATGCTAGGCAGAATAGATAAAACATGCTAAATAACACAGACCATTGGAGCAGGATCCTATCTTAATTTTCAGTGCACGGTTTTAACCAATAAAGTAAAAATAAAATTAAGCCTTTTTGAAAATGAATGTTTCATTAAATACTTTTTTGTATGGAGCTCGATATTAGCACGCTAACATGCATGCTCATGAAGGTCAGAACAGATCAACACCCTCTACTGCGCAGCAAACGGTTCTCCGAATTCTCCGGTAGTGCACGATAAACCATGGTACTTGTATTTTAAGTTTTCTGTTCAGGTTGCCCTGCTACAGCTGCCTTTTATAGGTTGTCACACCAATCATTCAAAATGTCTACAGCCTCCTGATTGGTGTTTTTTTCTATTCACAGAAAATCCTGAGAAAGAAAAACCTTTAAAGAACTTGAAAACCACAAATGATGCAGTCGCCACCTCCTCTCAGTTTGAGCCAGCAGTCATGGTCGTCATCGGTTGCGACGTAAAAATCCTCACAGTTGTTGAAACAAAATTGGAGGATGTCCTGAGGAATCACCTGATAGAGCGGGAAGTGAAGGTGTGTGATTTTGACCGACTCACACACCAGGAGCAGGAGACGGTGTTGTCCGAAGTCAGAGCCTCAGGAATGAGTATGGAATTTAGGAGTGCTCCAGGAAAAGCCAAAGGCAAAAACGCAGAGGGCGCTGTGGATCATTACCTGCTGAGAGGCCTGAAGGAGGATGTTTTAAGTGTCTTTGCGCTAATAAGCGATGCCGTTCGGAATTATCTTTTTGAAGACAACCAAAACAATCAGGAAAATTTGATGGCAATGATAGCACGTTGGTACATCCAGGATAAAAAAAAAGAGGTTTGGCAACTTCTTGATCAAAAGGAAAACTGCGAGCTGGAGACGGCGCACAGGGACAAAAAGACATCAGCAAAAATCACAGCACCAGATGGAACAGTAGCACAAGTGAACCTGAAGACTTACACTGCCACAAGCCAACAAGGGACCAAATACAAAGTGAAAAAGTCTGAGATATCTGAAGGTACATTATGTGGAATTTGTGATTTTTTTTATTCAGGGTGAAGTTTGTTTTTATTTCTTCACATTCTTCATCCAGACCTTAAGCTGCTTCACTACACCTTGAGCTCTCATCCAGATTCTACCCTCAAGTGTCTGTTTAATGTGGTTTGGAGCACCTCCCTCACACAGGTTGTGTCAGATCAGGAGTTTGATCTGCTCAGTTGGCTTTAGGCAGTTTGTAGTCCGCCTTAAGAAGAATGGTCCGTAAAGAGTGTAAAGTTTGTGTAGCTTAGCCTCAGCTTTAACTTAAACATTACCTATATTTTGTGTCTGGCAAGTTGGTCACAAGCTTCACTGACCAAACAGCTTAAACACTGTGAGCATTCATATTTCCTCTTCTTTAGGCTTTGAGATGCCAATAGAATGGGAGCCCATGAATGGAGAATCCTTTAAGAAAGTCAAGCTGAATTCTACTTTAAAGGAGTACAAGAAGGTCGCAGAGGATTTCAAGGCAACAGCCAATCATAATATCATAACGGTGAGTGGCATGACCCCTGACTAGGGCTGGGAACTGCCAGGTACCTTGTGATATGACACTATTATGATATTTTGCCCACAATAATAATAATAATATTGCAACATATTGCAGTATTGATATTTTGGAACACCTCTATGACAATTTAAAACCTGCAACAATAAACCGATACACGGTTTGTTTCTGACCCTTAGATTGAACGTGTGCAAAATGTCTACCAGTGGAAGGCCTTCGCTGTGTGTAAGGAGCGCATTGGCAAGAAGAATGGTTTACAGGAACTTGGGGAAAAGTTTCTCTACCATGGCACCGCAGCAGAGTCATGTGACTCCATCGAAAAAGGTCGATTTGACAGGAGCTTTGCTGGACAGCACGGTAAAGATTGAAGCTGTTTTGATTTAAAAATCATGATGAATAAATGCAAAATGTCTGCAGGTCCTAATAACTGAGTCATGGTTAATGGTCTGATCCTGCAAATATTCTGCTTCAGTCAACAGCCAATCAGAAGCAAGCAAGCTGAATAGTACTCTCAGATGAACATATAGTTTTAAAGCTCTTGAAATAGGTGCTGTTGTTTTCCTAATGATGACATGGTATAAGGTCTAATAGAAGGTCTGTTTGATTGTTATGCTCACTGCAAGTGAGAGATAAAGTCATGACACCACGTCAAATGTCTCCTGTCTGCCAAAGATAGTTTGACAAAAAAGATCACTTAAATGTATGAAAACTTTAATTGTTTACAGTTATGTGGTAAACATGTTCCTGTGTATTTAATCTTCATCATTCGATTTATTCTCTTCTTTTTTGTTGTGGGTCAACTGAACAAACGAGTCCAATTAGAGGTTCAATCTTTTATGAACAATCAGCTCCACACCATAATTCATGAGTTCTGAAGTATTATGTTAAAAACCTCTTAAGTGATTGGTTTATTCCAATGTTATTCCTCTACAGCTACCATGTATGGAAAAGGAGTTTACTTTGCTGTTAACGCACAGTATTCAGCGAGGGGATATTCACAACCGGACGCCTCAGGAACTAAGAGGATGTATGTAGCCCGTGTCCTGACAGGCCGATACACCAAAGGTGAGGCTCAGATGAAGAACCCACCCCCTCGTGCCAACGATCCCACCGACCGCTATGACAGTTTAGTGGACAACTGTCAAAAGCCGAACATGTTTGTGATCTTCCACGACGACCAGGCCTACCCAGAATACCTCATCACTTTCAACTGAGAAAAGTTTCTCGTGGTATCAGTTGTAAGTCTGTCTCCGGTTTTTGTTTTTCATTTTAATCACAACTTTTGAAAAAAAATGATCAGCGCTCATATTAAGAACACAAAGATGTCGCTAAAGACCCTTAGCTCAAGCATCGTTTTACAGTAAAGACTGGTCTAATTTGTCGCTAGCCTGCTTTGCAAACCATCAACAGTATTTTCAATTGGTGCCACTAGATGGCGGCATACACAACATAACTGTTGTCAGACGGATCTACCTCTGTCAGAGGCCCCCAGCTACCGAACTGTCCCGGGGTTATGGGTTATGTCATCGTCTATTCCAACCCATAAAATCAGTATACTCCTGGAAGAAAGTGTGTATTTTTCATGAATAAGTAGTATATTGAATACATTATTACTGTGATTAGAGTACTGTATATTTAAGCTTCTGGATTGTTTACTATTCTGATGGGTGAATTGCATCAGATTGAAATACCTAATCTTTCATACATGGTATGCTATTCTGATCATAATAGTAATTAATAATAATTTGAACTTTATTGATCTCACTTTTTGGAAATAGCTGTGTTAACAGCAGATCTATAACAGGATGACCCTTGGGAGCGCAAAGTATGTGGTTCTTTTGGGGGTCGTAGCCAGGACCTTCTGTGTGTAAGCCATATGTATAAGCCAGCACTATGCAACCACAATGGGTTAATTGCAACAACTGGATAAATATACGTGTAGTTTAATACACTGTATACTACTCTGGTAGGTTAATTGCACCTGTGGCATTACATACATATAGTATGTAGTAGTAATATGCATGTAGAATATGTCAAATTTATGTAGTGGATTTATTAAAAGTGTGTGTCAATGTGCTGCTGATCATTAGCATACCGAATATTACATATTAGACACACCTATTTTTTAAAAACATGCACTGTCATAAGTAAACCGCATTCCTGAAGTTTCTGTATACCGTATTTACTGCATTAATAGTTCAAATGTATTACTTAGTCAGGAAAAATATGTACTTTATTCCAGGTGTGTACTGATTTAATGGGTAGGTATAGGTGTTTGCGTAACTCAGCAGGGTTTTCTTCCTGAGCGTGTGCAGTTGACATACAAATCTGACGGTGTAAACAAATCCAACAGAACACCTGTGAAACAAAACAAAAAAACACTTCTTTTTTTTTTTAAATCGCATCCTCAAGTAATTTCCATTACAGATAAGTAAAAATGGTGATACTTAGCTTAACGTAGCTGATGAAGAGGACACAGAGACCTGCCTGGACATGTTTTTAGTTTTCAAATCATGACACCTTTCAAACTATACCTTTTTGACTAAAAAGTGACTCTTTTTAATCAGAGAATATTTAATAGGATCTGGGTGTAACTGACAGCATAACTGTCCTTTATGAGTGCAGGGAAATAATTAGATTGGAAAGACCAAAAAACCACTGAAGGTAGAGTAGTGATGGTCATTATCGGAAACCCTGGAGTTCTCCCAGATACGAACGTTGACTGTGTCTCCAACTTGTAGCGTCAGGATGGCACTATTCGATCCAGATTCATCTTGGTTTGGCCTCCAAATGTACCACGACACTTGTGGCTTGCCATTGTGGTACAGACTGCCACCACATCGGACTTCTCCCCTCCAACAAAAGGAATTGAAGGTGAATGAGTACACTCCCTTCACCGGGGCTGTGAAGAAGCCTGCAGTGAACGGAAATAAACCAAATAATGTCGAGTCTAAATGAATACATGAAGACTTGAACTATTGGTGAGAAGACAGGCTACAAACCTGTATCTGGACTGTAATGTCCTCCAACGTTAGACAGGACACGACTGTACACCAGAGACTGAGGCGCACTTCCAGAAACAATGTTGAACGAAGTTGGATATGTGGCAGAAAATGCGATTTTGGACCAAGCTGATGAACACAAAAGAAATGTAGTAGCGCTGTCAAACAATTAGAATTTATAATCTGATTAATCACCATGGTAACCTTTGGTTCATCACGATGAATCAGGATTAATTGAATTAATCAAATCCTAAAAATGGGTCCCCTGAAAAACTATTTTTTTTTCTTTATATTCCTGGAACAGAAAGGCAAATATCAGCAGGTGGATGCTTGTGTTTCACATCTCTTTATCTTTGTCTGTGATTAATTCAATTCTTAAAAATTCTCTGCTGAAGCTGTTGTCTTTTACATGCTAAGTGTTGAGCTGATCGTGAAACCAGAACAAGTTTTCTATCCAGGGGTGAACAAGACAGGTTTGTCTTGTCAAGATCGAAAGCTTGTGATGAACATTCTTCTGGTTTTTCTTGTGTCACCGAAATGAGTAAATAAAGTAAATAAAATAGTTGGTTTGCACTAAATATTCAGACTTCTCTGGTTATTCGGACAACCAGGAGGTGGAAAAGTTGTTAGTGTGAGTGTGTAAGCCCAGATTTGAAGCATGAGAAATATTTATGTAGCATGACAGACATTGATACCAGAATGTTTGTCGGACTCACTATGGAAGTCATCAGTGTATAGAATTCTATGACCTTGTCCCACTGTACCACGATCAGTCACAGTCTCATTAAAAGCTGACAGCTTCTTCTCACTGGCCTCAAGCCTCTTGTTGGTTTCCTCCAGGGCCTGGACTGTGGTCGTCAGCTTCTCCTTCATGGTCCCCAGCTGCTCCAATATGTGGTAAACAAGTGCTGTTGCATTTTTACATGTCAAAAAGCCCTGGTCCTCAGCCTGGGTGTCTACGTGACCCTTAGGTGTCAGCTCAGTGATGTGAGTCTTGCTTCCTGCACCTTCGTCCTGGCATTTGGACGAACCTGCTAGTAAACACATCAGCAAAACCCCTGACAACCTCGCCATTCTCACACTGGTGGATTATCTGAGGTCTGTTGATAATGTCTCTGAGGTAGTCATGGTATCAGGCTAGTTAATTATTATACAGAGGAAGGCTAGTTATTTATTATACCAGTTGTAGGCCAGACAGTCTGCACTCATTAAACCTCTATGTTGGCTGCAGTACATTGATTGAAAATTAGATAAAAATTTGACCCCAGGGATACTACACAATTATATTTGTTGTTAGAAATCTTTTTAAGTGAAAATGAAATATTTGTCATTGTGACACAGCACACCACTGCAGACACAATAAAAAGTGACCTCTATTTTTAATGCATTTTATCTCAAAGAAGAGAAGGAAGTTCAGCTTCCTTTCTGCACACCCAAAAGAGGCAGTTGCACAGCACAGCATCTGCAGCAATGGCTGCTCAACTTCCCACCAGTGTCTGAGGGTTTCAAGGACAGAGTGAAATGTCACTTTCAAAAACCTGAAATTGCGCCATTTCCACAAATATTTGTTAAACAAAAAAATAGAGTCTGAACTTGATAAAAAAAAAATGATGGAGTTCAGGGTTCCGGCTCAGATAGTAAATGATTGTCAATGTGGTGACCATTTCAGTCAGGTGTTATCAACAACTTTATTGACTCAAGCTAATCAGTTTTGAACAGATGGAAAATGTTTGCACATGACATTAATGAATGGTGAAACAATTAATATGGATTGTGAAGTTCATTTCATGAAGATGAAAGAGTAAAAACAACGTCATTTGTTGCATAGAAAATGGTCTCAGCATTCACTTTTCAGGGATTGAAATCACAATTACAAGTACAACTTAAGAAAATTAAAATTATCATAATCACAACACTGAAAACTCCACCTGTGTTAAGTGTCCACCTTTTTTACTAGCTATGTTAAGTTATTAAAATAAAAAAACAAAAATAATAAATTATTTTATAACTTTATTCACTCTCTGCAATGCCCTCATAAACCACTAGGGTTTATGTTTCCCCCTGATTAGCAAAGATTACATAGGACTTTACCATGTAACATGAACCAAGGTTGGGTTGAAACTTCATCTCTGTGACCCAGTGGTTATTTAAAGCAACTTGTTTGTGCACTGAGGAAGTTGTGTCTGGTAAAGAAGGAGAGCATGCAGGGATTTACGGGTAAAAAGATCAAAATACTTTAGAAAGATGACTAGAAACTAAAAAATCCCACAGGAGTGTTGAGTCGCAGCCACAGACGTGGCATTCACCAGGCGATATCTGCCAATGGAATGGGAAGAGCGATGGCGGAGAGACAAAGAGAGGAGGAAGAGAGTTATTGCAGAAGGTGGAGAAGGAGTCGAGCGGGACAACCGGGAGCTGAGGAGGATTGTAGCTTATAATGACTCCAGGTTGGGCCTCCTGAGTAGGAAGGATAACAAGGAAGTGCCCGATGTTGGAACTCACTCTGAGCACAGGACTGGGGAGCACAGCAGTGAGGACATGTTGGAGGACGAAGGATTCAACAGTCAAGTCCACATGTACAACAGTGAAACCTGGTCTGAGGAAACTTTAAGCTCCCTGAAGGACCTCAGAGATTCATGTCTTCTCACAGACCTGACTCTGATCACTGAAGACGGAAGTTGCCAACACGTGCACTCCCTTGTCCTCGCTGCTGTCAGCTCCCTCATCCTGGACAAACTTAGAGGGAGAACTGATGAACAATCGCAGGGAGATACAAATGTGGGCGTTCAAAAGTGGTCCGTGACTCTTCCCTCAGAGGTTAATTGTGCTGGACTTGAGGCAGTTGTGGAATTTGCCTACACTGGGGAAATTCTTTCATTGAACAAAGATAACGTACCCCACATCAGGAAATCAGCAGAAATCCTTGGAGTTCCTAGAGTTCTGGAGCTCTGTCGGACAGAAGACAAGCTGAGTAATGAAGGAATCACAAAGAAGGAGAAGACCAGGGTCTCTACGGTTGAAGAGATGAAGATCACCCTTCAGTCCACCAGACAACTGTGGGCAGACAGAGTGGGATGTGACGTGTTGTTGGACCTTAAAGGGACATTATTTGAAGGCTAGTAGACATTTGGTAACAATACGATTCATTGTTGTATTTTACTGATTATTATCTGTTTTCCTTCACTCAAGTTCACAGAGTTATCCTCGCAGCCAGCAGTGACTATTTCCGTGGCATGTTCACCTGTGGAATGCGGGAATCCCAGCAGTCCTGCGTTGGCCTTCCCTTCCTGTCAGCACCAGATTTAGAGGCTCTCATTGGCCACTCTTACAGTGGGACACTGTCACTCAAGTGGGACAGCGTCTTTGAAATCACCTGCACAGCTCTACAGCTTCAGTTCCAGCCCGCGCTGTCGCTGTGTCTCAACTTCATGCAACAGGAAATGGAGGCGAAATGGTGCTTAGACATTGCGTCTTTTGCCGAAGCTTACGGGATGTCGCAGCTCCTCCAAGAGGCCAATGACTTTGTACTGAGGAACTTTTGGGAGGTGTCGTCCACAGTTAAGTTTCAGGACCTGCCAGCAGAGACGTTTTTAGATATCCTTCGCTCTGATGGTCTGTGCGTGCCCTCAGAGTTGGCTGTATTCCGAGCTGTAATCTCATGGATTGAAGCTGATCCTGAAGAGCGACTGAGTCAGGCTGGCTTACTCATGACTGCCGTCCGCTTTTCCCTCATGACGTTTCGCGAGTTCAGAGAAGTTAGGGCCATTAATCTGAGAATGGAATGTTTCGGAAACAACAAAGTTGAACTCTACGGCTCGGCCTTCAAGGATTTTGGTTTAAGCCTTGAACAAACGCAGGATCAGTGGAGAATCAGGAAGCCCAAAGAAGCTCTGGTTTTAGTTGGGGGAGACCATCTAGATACAGATACAGGTCAACGCAGTCCAAGCAAGGAGCTGTGGTTTGTTAACGCGCTACGCAGTGGCGTAGGTTTGGTAAAAGAGATGGAATGGAGGCACCTGGGCCATATGCCAGACAAACCCAAGTTCAGACATGGAGTGGCAGCAGTAGAAGGGAGGTTGTACGTGTTAGGAGGATGCTTCTTCTACACCAAGGATGACATAATGAAATCAGTCTACAGGTAATGGCCTTTCCTCTGTCACAGCTTTAAAACAAACTGTGAGAGAAATCCAGAAGTAACAGCTCGATGTTTCTCATCTTCACCTTCATCACGTATCTCATTACTGTAGTTACGACCCGGTCCAGGATGGATGGAAGAGGCTGGCCGATATGCAGGAGTTAAGAAGTAACTTCTCAGTAGTGGTTCAGGAAGGACGCCTCTACGCCATTGGTGGAGATAAGGAAATCAACACTAACGTAGATAGTGTTGAGATGTACGATCCACACACGGACACCTGGAGGTGAGTCATTCAGATAACACGGACACCTGGAGGTGAGTCATTCAAAAAATCTTCCGCTGATTTCTACTCCGCTATCAATGCATTGACCTTGTTGAGTAAGTACCACAGAGAGACAAAAATGTTTTGAAAGTATTTTAAGCATACTTTCTTGCATGTATTAAATGGCTGTTTGTATATCATATATATATATATATACTATCTGCATATATATGTTAACATATATATCTAGATTTAAATATAATAGTGTGTGTAAGGCTGTCAATCTAAAATCATTTTCAATGTGATTAATCATTTTTATTTGTAGAATAGAACACAATAGAATAGAATGGTCTCTTCCATCCATCCATCCATCCATTTTCATCCACTTATCTGTTACCGGGTCGCAGGGGCAACGTGTTTGTATATCATATATATATATATATACTATCTGCATATATATGTTAACATATATATCTAGATTTAAATATAATAGTGTGTGTAAGGCTGTCAATCTAAAATCATTTTCAATGTGATTAATCATTTTTATTTGTAGAATAGAACACAATAGAATAGAATTGTCTCTTCCATCCATCCATCCATCCATTTTCATCCACTTATCTGTTACCGGGTCGCAGGGGCAACGTTCTCCACGACCGCCACCCAAATCACACTGCACCGTACCAACCCCCCTGAACTTTCCTGCAGGTGGTCAGTCCACTGGAAGGTACCAACTGCCCTAACCAGGATTCTAACTTGCCCAGGAGGTGAACTCTGGGGTTCTACACCAGTGACAGAGACTTTGCCTCTGGGCCAACGTGCCACTCCATTCACATTGTAAAACATAAATCATCAAGGCATCCCCGTATTGCACATTAAAAATCAATATTCTGACAATATTTTAATAACTGATTAGTTTCACAAATTACTTGACTTCATTAACAAATTCATTTGAACAGCCCTTGAAAGAATATTTTTCATACGTACAGTATGTGCGCTAGATTTAAAACCCCAATTGATTTTCATGTATGTTCCACAGCCTCGTTCATCCCTTAGAGCAGAGTCTGAGTGGTTTAGCTGCCACTGCTGCAGCCGGACAAATCTTCATCTCTGGAGGCTTCGACTGCAGCTACATTTGTCTTTCGTCCATGTTCTCGTACCACCCAGAAGGAGGAGTCACCCCCCTGGCCAACATGGCCCACGACAGGGCTCAGCACTGCATGGAGGCCCTGCGTGGCCGCCTCTACGTCAGCGGTGGAGTGTGTAACCTCAGGGCCTTCTACACGGACCAACTGGGCTGTGAGATGTATGATCCTAGAACTGATTCCTGGACGGAGTTTGCGTCACTGCCTGTGCCTCATGTTGGCGCAGCCTCAGCCGTGCTTGAAGAGAAGATCTACATCCTGGGCGGGTACTGCCAGGAGGACTACAGTGAGTCTGGACTGGTCCACAGGTTCGATCCTAGCACCCAGCGGTGGCAGATCATGGGTAAACTTCCTGCTGCTGTGACCGACATCCGGGCGTGTTTGCTACAACTGCCTGAGGATCTCAGACACTGACTTTTCTTCCATTAACATTCAAAATAAGTCACGTGAGCAGTTTTTAGGTCATTTATTTGAATAATAAGTAAAACATAAAAACATAAGAGAAAGAAACCTTTTCTGGGATGTGCGTGGCATGATTGGGTTTGGGGTTCTGCTGCAGGAGGCCCAGAGCTTCATATTTGAAACAGCCACCCAATGTTTGTTCACCTGCTACTGTGAAGTGGCCAAATGTTATGTTAGGAGGACCCACCACCGTGGCTACCTGTGACGAATGTGGAAGAAACCTCAGCCCTCCATCTTGGTCAGGGAATGTCAGCAAGAAGCACATAATTCTTTTTCATTTTTACCTCCATTGTCCGCAGTGACACAGCAGGTATCACAGCAAGTATCACAGACGCCATCTGCTGCCAAGATTTCCAGATAAAGTCCAAAAGTTGGAAATGCTGAATGAAGGTCAGAGACATTTGAGTCCTGCTGCTGTAATAGACCAAGCCTTGTGGGACAGAGGGGACAATCAGAGGACGGTGATCTTTGACTCATGAAACCAAAACAACAATTTCACTGCCACAGTTATTATCTTCAGAGCTCTTCATGGAATACCTTGTGTTTATGTTTAAGTTCATATTGTGGGGAGTTGTGTCGTGTTAATAAAGTAGTACCAAAAATAAAATATATTTCATAATCATAATAAAATAAAACACAAGACAAAGTGACTCCCCACTCAGGATCTTTTGCTCCAAGGACGTTCACTTCTTGTAACTTGTGACTCAGACTTGTTTCCATACGTACCAGAGATGTTTGCCCTGAAATCTGGTAAAAAAAAGAAAGAAAAGAAAGTAAATACTAAACTGAAGATAAATGACTAAAATGTGTTGAGTAAGTCATGAAAATCAAATCTGGTAGTTTCAACCAATGCCTCCCTTTAGATTCGGTCTGAACCTGTGGCCCACAAACTGGACAAATGTATATATAGCTCCTGTCCCACAAACAGCAAAAAATGATTTGGCTTAGTTTGATCTGGCCAAGACAGTTTCTTGCACTAACTCACAAATTACAGGCCTGTAGTGGCCCAAATTAGCCATTAAATATGTGCCGATTGTGATGTCCATTGTATGATCATGTACTTTGACCAAAGCAGTTCCTCTTTTAGCTCTAACATTTAACTTTGGCTTAAAATTGCTGGATTTTTTTTTTTCAAGGTCACATTCTTCCTTCTACAGATTTATGTGCATTTTTAAATCCTTTTCCAACAGACCTGTTGGGACAAGAAGAAACTGCCGCAGGGTTTTTGAAGACCATGAATCAGGACTGACTCATATTTTAGGCTACCAGCAGCTATATAAGTCACAGAGACTAACAAGTATGTCAGAATTTGGAGAAGCTCCAGTTGAGAGACATGAACTTCAGAGGTTTGGTTCTGCTGACCCTGGTGGTTTCTCTGTTCCTGGGGTCTGGGTTGGGACAGAGAGGGGACAATGACTGGATGAAAGCTCAGGAAAAGCTCATGGTTCGACTCCAGAACGAACAGAAAGATGCGGAACAGCAGCAGCAGAGTGATCTGGATGCTCTGGAGGTGAGACTCAACGCCACGGTGGACGACCTACGCAGACAGAAGGTTGAAGTGGAAACACTGAAGAAAGAGAACCAGGGTAGGAGGGTCTTCTCTGGTTTGTGACCACACATGATGAGCTTCATCCAGGAGAAAATGTGATCTTTTAATATTTTTCTATTTCCTTTTTGTCAGATCTGTTAATACGACTGATTTCCTCAGAGCAGGAGATCCAGAAACTGAAACAGTTTGTTGAAAAAGGTGAGAAGAGTAACTCAATCATCCTGGAAACTGAAACAGTTTGTTGAAAAAGGTAACTCAATCATCCTGAAAACTTCAAAACCTCTCCTAAAACGTTGTCTTTCTTTGCCAAATTATTTTTTTCAGGCTGTATAAATTCCTTATACAGAAGTACACTTTGGTCATTTCAAAAGAAATATATGCATTTTTTTTCAATGCAATTTCAAAAATTAAAGTGTTATTTTAACTTTAATAACTGATTTTCCCTTCAAAAAATATTTCTGTAGCTGAAAATGTATTGTTTTTCAGCTTTTTTGTTTATATTTAATCCTCAAAATATGTTTTTCACATTTAGATTTAAATAGCAATTACAATTGTTTTTGTTTTCTAACTCAATGTCTTTTTTATTATTTTTATTGTTTAAAAAAGAACAAACACGCCCTTATTGATCTTTTTATAATCGTGCTTTTACTGGCAAAATTTTGTTTATTTTCATGTCCAATTTTGTACAGATGTTTTAAATTGTGTTTATTCTTGGGTAGCATCTGAGGTAAGAAAATATACATTTTTTTTATTTTTATCTGTGTAGGTTATTCATTCAGGTCATCTTATCCAAAATAGTTACATTAGGGGCAACTGGACTGGTAGGTTTGTTTACCTCTCATCCAAGAGGCTTTTTTAGTACTAACTAACTGCTGTGAAGTTTCTGGTAATTGACCTCAGACAGGCTGACCACTTGGAACAGAGGGTCTTTGGAAAGACTAATGGGGGTGACCACACCCAACACCGAAGGAAGGAATGTTGTAATGATAAGGGTTGAGGTGGATGAGGGGTGAAACGTCTTTAAAAATAAACACCAATTCTGCTTGATGTAACTACTTTGGAAATATATTTCTAATTATTAATATTTTAATACTAAATGTCTACTTAATATGATCTTGTGTTGACTCTCATCTACATGTAAGGACACAAGTATGTTACAAAGACTTTAGATTTAATTATTTACATGATTCAATTAAAGGATTTTCAGTATATCCATATACACATTAGGTTTGTCCTCATTTGATTAATAAAATCGGACTTTATCTGTTTTTATACAGTTGGTCCTCGTGTCGCCTTCTCGGCGTCTTTGGCGCCCTCTGGTGAAATCTACAAAGGGCCGTGCACCGACAAGACTCTAATTTTCAGGAGGATTTTCTCCAACGTTGGAAACGCTTACGATCATAACACAGGTATTTGTAATTGTATGGTAACCACGGACCGGCTCTCAAATTATATCAATGAATAAAAACCATGGATAAACGACGACTCTTCGACCTGCCTGTGGTATTTGAAACGTATTCCGACAAAAAAAAACAACCTTTGACCTTTGTCTGTGCTGCAGGGGTGTTCACAGCACCGACCAACGGTCTCTACTACTTCACCTTCAGCACCTACGGCTACAGCACTCATGCAGCGGGGGCAGTACTGGTGAAGAACGCGGTGCGTCAGATTTCTACGTATGACAGCCCCTCAACCGACGGTTCGGACAGCGGCAGCAATGCCGCTGTTCTGCAACTGTCCACCGGGGACAAGGTCCACGTGGAGCTGTGGGATAACGGTCAAGTGTTCGACAACCTGAACGGACACACAACGTTCAGTGGGTTTCTCCTCTTCTCTCTGTAGATCACCGGACTGTATTCGTGTTATGTCCGACTCACGTATGTCCTTCAAATCTAACAATGTTCTTGGAATCTCGTAGTATTTTGATTTCAGGTAAAACTGCTGTGTCTCTGCCTTTGTTGGTTGATGTTTTGCTACTATCTAAATAATTCCAAAAGATTACTTAACGATCCACTTACATTTAGGACAAATGATAGTGAGGAAAAAGTGTCACTTGTCAAGTCAATACTGTTGAATAAATGCATTTGAAAAACTAGTATATGCTCAATTAAAAAAATGAAAAGGCTATCTTACAAAGTGGCTAACAACATCAAATACCAGTTTAAAAGACAGTTCATCCTCGGCATATGTTAAAATTTGCAATATTAAAACAAGACACGAGTACTTTAACAAAGTTAACCTTTATTGAAAGTATATAAAACTTTAGTTTGAAGACACTCTGGCAACCATGCGAAATGTCACCATCTTGTGTTCAAAATGGGCAATAACATTTAACTATTATTTGAATAATTGTCTAACATTTCTTGTATGTAAAACCTTCATCCAGGTGAATTATCAGTGTCATTCACCAGATACGTTTATAAAGAGCGGTCATGCTTTATTTACGAAAATGTTGTGGCAAACACAGCAGTGACGCTCGTATGTCGTTGTTGGGTCCGGGCATTCGACCCATGTTCTCCCATTGCGCTAATGTGGGGTCATATCGGTGAACTGTTTTCGTATCGCTGTAGTCCTCCTGGCTGTATCCACCGAGAACGTAAAACTTTCCCTCTAAAACTGCACTTCCTGCTCCGACATGTGGAACTGACAGAGACATGAAGGATGTCCAGGTGTCCGTCTGTGGACTGTACATTTCACAGGTGAGCAGGTCCACACCGGTCATGGTTTGATCCACTGTGATTCCACCTGCTACGTAAAGGCGATCATGTAGCGCCTCCATGCAGTGGTTGGTTCGTGGTTGTCTCATGTTACTGAGGTGTGTGCTTCCTGTGTCTGGGTGATACCGAGACATGGACGCAAGGCAAGTGTAGTCGCTGTTACGTCCTCCTGAGATGAAGATCTGGCCGTGCACGACCTTCGCCACGTGTCCACTCAGAGGGAGCTCCAAAGGCTTGGTGAAGCTGGAACAGGAAGTACAAATGAGTCATAGCTGTAGTGTGTTCACACTAGATGTGGTGACATTTTGCTTGTGTAGTCATTAGCTTTGTGCAAATGTGTACAACAGTTTCTCGGATGGTGTTAATGCTAATAAATAGTGAACACGCAAACAATGGTAATTCTGAAAAGTTACACAGCATCCAGGTTCACTTGTAAACAAAACGAACCTCTAGCTGCTCAGTTTTATATATATAAAAAAACATATCTGTGGGAATTGTTGTGTAACATAATTTGGATTTTTCTTTTGACTTAATGCTATCTGAAAACCTCAGGTTGGTGACTACAAAGTTTGTTAGCTAATCTATGGGGATGTGACGATAGACTCAACTCAATATGATATGCTGTTTTTAACAAATAGAGCTTCAAACAAATAATGATTATAATGATCCTTTATTTGTAAGAACTATACAAAATACCGTTACCAACTGAAATGGGCTCTCATAAACGTAGGCCACGTAGGGACCTGACGTCTTGGTTTAATATCGGGTCACAACCAACCTTTTTAGGCCGATGCCACTACCTACTGTACTAGAGTGTGTAGTCTCAAGGAATGACTAGCGACTTTTTAGGATAACGCAGCCTGCTCATTACACCTTGATTCATGATTTATTTTTTAATTTTTATTTCCACCAATGTGAAATGTCAAGCATTGTATCGCTTTAAATTGGTTCACGATGTATCATTAATTCCGCGCTAATCTCCCAGTGTATTTAAAGTTTACTGTTAAAGACCATGTTCTTGGTTTAAATGTGAGGAAAGTGATCATGCTGTCGATGGTACCTCCAGGAGTTTGCTGTGGGGCAGTAGCGCTCCACACTATCGATGTACTCTGGGTCGCAGTGGCCACCAATAGCGTAAATCTGTCCATCCAGTACAAGCACAGAGAAAAAGCACCTCCTCTCCTGCATATCAGCCAGATTCTCCCAGATGTTTTCAATGGGGTCGTACCTGTTCAACAGGAGAAGAAGAAATGGCTACAGAAACTCCGTTGGATACGTTTGGTCATATTCATGATTGAAGAATATTCCATCTTACCTCAAAACAGAATTCAGAGTGTCACCAAGACCATAAAACTTCTTGCCGCCAAAAACATACAGTTGACCTCTCATTACTGCCACCTCGTGACTGAACCTTGCTGGTTCAGGCATTTCTCCTAGTTTCCTCCACTCCATAGTCTTCCTGATCCCGGTGTGGCTCAGCAGGGAGTTCCCAAACCAGAGTTCTCTGCTGATGCAGCGTGTTCCCAGATCCTCGCAAATCCGGTCACCTCCGATCAACACCAGACTTTCTTTTGGCAGGTAGATACGATACTGGCTCTGTGGTTCTATCTCATTAGAGCAGAATTCCTCAAATACGGCTTGGTAGAGTTCCTCCAAGCTTTGATTCACCCATAAATCTATTGCCTTCACCTCCTTGAATTCCCTGAATGTCATTAGGGGAAAGTGGACTGTTTTCATCAATATCCTGGCAAGTTTGAGCCTCATCTTGGGTTTAGCCTGAATCCACGCCACCACTGCTTTGAAAACGACAAGCTCAGACGGAACACAGAGTGAGTGACTGTTCAAGTACTTTAGGAGTTGCCTTACTGGCAGGTCCTTGAACTTTGAGGTGCACGCCACCTTTTGAAACTGTCTCAGAACAAAATCCTCTGCAATTTCCAAAAGCTGCGCCATCTCATAAGCCTCAGCAAAGGACGCCACATCCAGGCAAAATTCGGGGTTCATTTCTTCCTGCAGGAATCTGAGGCACAAGGAGAGGCCCGGTCGATACTGGAGTTGGAGCACAGTGCAGGTGAGCTCAAAGATACTTCTCCAGCTAAGAGGCAGTAGGCCACTGTAGGAGCAGCTGATCAGAGCCTCCAGCTCTGAAGACATCAGAAAGGGAAGCGTCACGTGAGACTGATGGGACTCCTTCATACCCAGAGTGAACATGCCACGGAAGTAGTCACTACTTGCAGCCAGGACAACTCTGTGGACTGGACACAGAGTGGCACTGTGTTACTTAGAAATTGTTAATGTACAAGGGGAAACACGGTGGAAGAGTGGTTGGAGCTCTAAATGTAATGTAAGCGGCCTTTGTACCTGTGTCTTCTAGGCTACAGTGTCATGTTTTGACTTGTGTTGGTTGGCTATAGAGTCTATAGCCAACCACCAAGGATCTATAGTATAGACTCTTGGTAGTTGGCTCACATTGTACCCAATGGTGTACCCAAGGGTTGAGGACCCCATGATGGCAGCCTAGACATAGAACCAACATACAGTACGACATTTATACTGGTGATATGGCAGGGCTCAGATATGGGCTCAGACAACTGACCTTGGATCTTGTGGATAAGAGACAAGGTTGACGATCTACAGCTACCGCTCTCCTACATCTACAATCTTTTTAAACAATGTTGGCTGCTTCTAGACAGCATTTCTTACAACTGGTGGTCAGCCTGTGTGTTGCTTGCTTCTCCTCATTAAAGGCCAAAAGGAAAGTTAATAATTTCATGTTTTTAAAAGTTCAGAGCAGTGCAGCTGTGAGAGTCAACGATTTATCAAAGTGACTTACCATGAAGGGAATCTCCGATACCTTCCAAAGCAACATCACAGCCAACTCTGTCCTCCCACAGCTGTCTCATGGACCGGAGGCTGATCATCATTTGTTCTAAGGCAGAGATCTCCTCCTCTGTCTCCTTCGTTCCTCCGCTGCGTGCGGACTCTTGCTTGTTACAGAGATCCATCAGCCTGGGAACACGCAGGGTTTGTGCTGCACGTTTGATCTGTTCTATCGTGTCCATGTCCAGGTTGGGGACATATCCAGAGTAGGCGAAGTCAATGATCGCCTCTAACCCCACGTTGTCCACATCTGGGCCAAAATCCAAAGACCACTTGTTGATTCCGTTCTTCTCATCGTTGTCTCTTCTGAAATTGTTTTTTGTATTTGCTCGACTCATTCTTTCTGAAATGAAGGAGCTGACGGCTGATAGGACGAGAGAGTGAACATGGAAGGTCTTCCCAGTCTCTGTCCTCAAGATCAGATCAGTAAGAAGGGCGGAGTCCCTGAACTCTGTCAGAGTGTGAAACATATCAGTGGGATAATCAGTCTCTCTGTAAATCTTCACCATATCTTCTTCATCACAATCCATGTATTCAGGTGATAAATCTTCTGCTTCCCCCTCCTCCTCTTCCTCCTCCTCCTCCTCCTCCTCTTCCTGCTCTTCTTCTTCCTCCTCCTCTTCATCTTTTACAGGTAGTTCTTCCTGATCGTCCCACGTTGAACTCAATTCTAACACTGTTTCTTCCTCATCGTTTTTGAACTCCTCGGAGCTCAAGGTATGTTGGAGGCGTTCTTCAACCCTTATTAAGTTGAATTCTATATCATGTCCACAGTGTTCCTCTGGAGCTCCTTCTCCAGTGTTTTCTTCTTCAGAATTATAACTCTCATCTTCAGAAACCACCTGGTCCAAACCTTCATTGTTTTGTCCATCCAAGTCTGAAACTTCTCCATCTTCTGTCTCCATCGACGTCCCCTGCTCCTCTTCTTCCTCCTCCGTCACACTAATCTCTCTCTCCTGTTCATCCGCCTCTTCCTGTTCCACATCCACCTGTTTGTCCTCCACCCTCTCTTCTCTGTTGCTTTCTCCCTCTCTTTCCTCATCCTCCGATTTCAGTTTGTCCTTCACCTTCCCTCCATTCTCCTCTCTGCTCCCTTTCCCTTCCAAACAACCTTCATCCTCCCTATCCTCTTCCTCCTGTTCTTCCTTTCCTTCGTCCTTCTCATTCATCTCCTCTCCGGTCCATTCGGTCCACTCCTCTCTCCTCCTCTCCTCCTCAGCCTCATGGCTCCATTCATCCCAGCCGTTCTGAAGACAAGGATTAACTACTGCCATACAGTCCTCTCAACTAACTTTTAATCCCTAATTTCTTCTGATGACTTTGACGCATTGACACCTCGTTGTTGATAAGGTGATTTAATCTCACTTACTTTAATTCTGCATCAACAGAAAGGAGCAGAGGGACAAAGGCACAGTTCAGCGACGCAGCTTCTTATTCCGTCTGCAGACCCCAGCTGTGTTGTCTGTTTGTTTGTTGTCTCCACCTCTACCTACCTCCCCCCTGCCTTCCTCCCCTTCTCCTTCTCTGCTTCTCTCCTCATGTGAAAGCTCAGGAGTGCTCATAATTCCTCATACATCAAATCATGATGTATTAAAGGGCTACTGTATCAAATTTAGACATTTACAGTGTCAGCCTCAAATCCGACCAAACATTTGCAGCAAAGCTTTTTTAAATTTGTGCAACTCTGATTATGGGGCATAAAGTGATGCTTTCAGGACTGTTTCTCTGTTCATGTTGTAATCAGCTACACGTATATCAGACATAAACAAAATAATTAAACCGTTACATCATATAAAGTGAGCCCCTACTCCCACCCACGGACCAGCATGCTTTGCAAAATGTGTCTATCCCAGTTAAGTCTCTAAGTTATAGGGCGGCACTTTCAATATATCAATATATCTATATTTAAATTTATAGATTTTATAAAGTCATACATTTGAGAAAGGATATTCTGAATCGTGAAAAAAGATTTTAAAACTTTAAAAGAAGAAAAAGTGCTAACTCCAACTACTCAGGCGTGTTACACCAGATCTCTTTCATTTAGAGCTGAGATTATTTTCCTCAGAAGTTCACTGAAACTGGTGAGGTGGAAGGTGAGAATGCTAATGTTAAGCTAAATGTCCAGGGCCTCAGTGGCATAAACCTCTGGTTGACTAAATAAAGTATAACTACAGTTCACCCCTAAAGTAATAAACAAGAAAATAATCCAGCCATGCGACGCCAGTCCATGCACCTCTCAGGAGGCCTTGGCAGGTGTCTCCATTCACAGCCATATGACTTGAGGATCAGTATTAAATACCTGGGGGGTCAACAGTGTGATCACGTTGCTCCTCCACAGCCAAACGCTGTGGTATCTGGGTCAAGTGTTCAGGAGGCAAAAAGGCAGTTAACAGGAAGCCGAGGGTCCACGTACTGTAACATACTGAAACAACAACCGATGTAAGTGTCGGCTTTTGTGTCAACAGACAAAGCAAACAGCCCGGTCACGCTGTAACCTTGGCTTGGAAAATAGCTTCAGGGCAGCTGACAACAAGCATTTGCAAATATGTTCTGTCGTTGAATGACGCTAATAGAAATAGATGACAGATTCATGACAATAACCTTTGGCTAGAGGCACCTTAAACTTTGACATTGGTGTATTGTCTGAGTTTAAGGTCAGTTCACATAACATACACACAAATGTCCTGTGCATACTCAGCATATTCAGGCTGCAGTACTGACATCATTTATTACAATTTCTGATCTTACAAAAAAGTATTGTGAAATCATTATTTTATTTAACTGGACTCCAAGTTGAACACTGATCCAAATAGAAAGTTTGCAATAGCTTATGTTGCTAGTTAGTTGTTTTAACAGTTCTTAACGTCTGTTTTGTAAATGTTTGAAAAATAACAAGTTGAGCCTTTTCACACAAAAAACATTCTGGTTTTATTGAACTTTTAAGACTTTGACAGTAATAAATTCAAACTAAAACGTTCAGAAACAGACATCAGGTTCCATTATACAGTACAGAGAGGTCACAGCGGGATGGATTTTTAGGAACATTCCAGCCTAAAAATGTGCAGTGTGACTGATTGTCAGATTTGATCCTGTTGGATAAGTTGTACATGAACACGGACAATAACATAAAGATCTAGCAGTGCATGAAGCTGCAGAGGTCACACTGAGTACATGTGAGGTTTGTGTGATGAAACCACTGGCTCATAGACATGTCTACATTTGGGCAGCGTCTGTGTTACAGATGGCAATAGAATTTTTTTTCAATTTAAGCCTCACAAATTGAGAAAAGGAAAAAAAAATTATATTATGCTTGCATCATCATTTGTACTGTTATGTCGTTGCACATTAGATGGAAGCCTAAATGTCTAAAACGTAACAATGTTAAATATCTTACATGCAGTAGCGCTCACCTAATTGCGTAAACATTCAGATTACGAATACCACAGGTTCTGTTTTATTTCTGTCTTTTTTCCTATTGCTTGTTAAATGGGGTCGTGCTTCATTCTAACCACAGGTGTTGTGTCAGTAAAGTAGTGGAGCCACCAGAGGTGACAGTGTGTGTAAAGATGCTGCAGCAGAAGCAGGAGAGTTGCATAGATCAGCAGCATCAACTGTGGGTTAAGTTTCACGTCTTTCTTTTTTTTTTACTTCCAATTCTACATGTACTCCACATGGGAGCAACATATCAAAGGTAGCGGTTCATGTAATAGTAGTTCACCATTGTTTTGAGTGTGTTTGTGTTTGTTTGCTGACACACATCCAGTGCTTTAACAGCTAGCCTGACATTTTGTGCACACCAAAAATAAGGAAAAGAAAAACACATCACATCGATGACCATGGAGCCGTCGTGCAAATGTTTTAGTGATCCCAGCAAAACAAAATATTTTAGACTTGTAGAGCACAACTTCCACAAACAGAGGACATCCCGCAGTAGATGCTAGCATCGTCTTTCCTGCACTGTTCTTTAGGAGCTCAGCTCCAAACTACAAGTCTGACATTGTAACCTAACAGGAAACTGACACTAACAGAGAACTAAAGGAGAAGTGCTGGTTTTATTAAGAACACTGTGGGAACATCTTAAGAAACAACATCTTGGGAAACCAGTACCTTGGTCAGACCAGTGAGGCAGCTAAAGACCAGAGACTGATATCACACGTGGTTTGGTTTGATCCTTTAGAATTAAGTGCATTAGAACACATGATCAAACACTAATATTTGTCATTCTGGTAAAGTGACATTATTAATAGGATCCTGGCTGGCTTTTATTGCCTCAATTTCCTGACCTAACATACCCTAGACTAGGGTTACTGTAATTATTATTATTATTATTTTGTCCTTTTATTATAGGAATGGAACAGTTATCACATAATGATCTCTGGTAGAAGAAAAGAAAGAATCAGGAAGAAGAGGAAGAAGATGAGTGGAAGGGAGAGGAAGAGCAGAAAAAGAGGAAGAGAGCAGGTTGATGACCAGGGGGAGGTCGATTTTGAACTTCCAGGCACATCCACTGAAGTCTTCTGTCCTTCCACGTTTGGCCTGCAGATGATCAGAGGTCTGACCTGGGATATGCTCTCCTGAAAGACAGGATAGGGGGGTATTGCTGCTGTGTTAGTACACTGCCTCCTGCTGGTGATGTTATGCTCACGTGACACTGATTTCTACTGTTGTGTTAACCTCCAGTATGGTCCTGCTGTGAGCCCGGTCAGGACTGAGTCTAAGGTTCCAGCGTTGAGGCTTGTGATTTTTCCCGCCGTCATCTTCACTCTCCGTTGTGTCCTGCCGTGCCACCCGCGGCCGCTTTCGCCGGCGTGAGCTGATTCGCTGGAGAGAGCCTGACTCATGGAGCCTGGGGCCAATCAGTCATTAGGTAAAAGACATAAGACAGAGTGTGGTTGAACAACAAGTAAAGACAAACGATTATAGTTAAGTGGTGCTAACTACAAATAATAGTGATAGAAATTTAATTGTAGGGGGTATGTAGGGAGTATTTCGTTTATCTTCTGTATATCTTTTGTATGAGTCTTTGGATAGAGTTCTTTGCTAACATTACTGTAATTTATTTGGCTAACTTTGGGATACTTTTGGGAGAACGTGTGATCTTTGACCATGTGAGCTAATTTATAGGTATCCTTTTGATACTATTAATTATGACCTTTTCATAACATTCAGGTTTTGGCTAATTTATAGCTTTTTACCCTAATTTTTGGGTATCTTAGTCCTTTTCTTACAAATGAAGCTTATATTAAGAATTTGGGCAATACAATCTATCTTTTTGGGAAAAATGAACCTTTGTTTTGTTAATTATGGTCCTTATGATTACATTACTTAGTTAATTTGTTCACAGTGACATGGCGTATTTAATTTACCCACAATATAATCACTTTGTAATGCTACAAAGCTGCTAATGGTCTTGGTACATCAACACAGTCGCTTTTTAAGCAATGTTTTCTCTTCTACACTTTCCCCACAGGTTTCACAATAGAAACCACCACATTTTAACTAGCAAGTAAGAATTGTATTAATATCCACGTCATACCTGCCGTCTGTATCCTCTATATCAGCATCAGCATCACTCTCGCCCTGAGGGTCAGATAACAAACACTCCTCCTGCAGAGGAGAGTCAAACAAAATACCAAAGTGTGTTAATGCATTTATAAAAAACATTTTTTGGAGCCTTTTGCAGAGAACCAACAAATTCACCGAAAACAGGAATTTAGCTTTGAAGTTCTTAGAATATATGAACAAACACCAAACAACTTCAGTGAATCATCTCCGAGTGTCTGTGTGAAGGTTTATTAGCACTGTTATCATTCTGCATGAATCAGCTGACACTTCTGACACATGGCTAATGAGCTCAGAGACTCTGGCAGCTTTTTTTCTGTTATACCAGTGATTGTAACAACTGTGAGGCAGAGGCAGAGACTGTGTGGGCTGTAGGCGCTGAGCACAGCTATTATTACATCATTCCAATGGAATGTCAATCACAGCTGCAGCCACGTTTATGTAACCGACATCAAAACCTCATCACACAAAATTTAAGTGAGGACAAATCACACGCTCAAATATCAGACTGTTGGGATACGAAAATCACCCTGCAGAGGGCACTGTAAACACAGCTTGAGTCAAGTCCATCAGTAAAATATGACAATGCTATGTCTCTTGGTTGTCAGCGACATTGACAAATTCTACAGCAAGTAAATTAACCTAATGTTTAGGCAGATTTTTGACCGTGTTTCCTTTTTCATCAGCGACAACTCTAAAGTTGAATGGTTGTGAATTATTAATAAATACACATGGTTTTTATTGGCTCATTCTCTGATTGGCTTTAATTTAATGACAAGGCCTGGGTGAACACACTTTTGTGTAAATATATAACAGAGCTCTCAATCCATTAAAATATTAAATTCAGATTTACCACATCCTTCTTAGTAGTTAACAGTGTTAACTACTAAGAAGGATGTGGTAAATCAGTGTTAACTTAACACTGGCCTGACTACAATTTAATTGAATATTTCAATCTCTCATACATGCATTTACAACACTGTTAATACTTTCAAAAACATGCCAGTTGTCAAATTCAGAATATTCTCCGGAATACCCTTCAAGGTACAAAATGATTGCAGCATGCATTGCAGTTTATTGCAACGTGAGCTGAGATAATGGGGCTGTTCATTTCCTCTGTGTCCTCTTGGATCGAGGTTATGTAAAAAAAATTATTAATTAATAAATCCAAATACATACAGTGTAGCTCATTACACTCTACTGTAAACAATGATGGCGTTGTGTTTTTACCTCTGTCCCATATCCCTCAGAATACCTGGTCACCATCTTTCCTCTGTTCTTTCCACAGTGTTCACACAGAGGCATGCCCTGAGGACAGAATACAGCACAGAAGCAGACCAGCAGATGCTTAGTCACTTGGGACAATTTTTCAGAAAAAATGACACCACACAGTGACAGAAATAAAGTCATGTGAGATGGACATTTAAAACAATGTATTCGAGCACAATTAGAGAAGAAGAAACACTTCCAGTAGCCTCAGATGCTTGAGTAGGAAGCTGAAGCACTCACCGGTGTGGGCGGCGTATGTGCTTCTGGGTAAAGTGTACAGGGACCGGCCTGGCAAAGACACGATACGTCCACCACTACACAGCTCGCCCCCACCTGAGACAAGAAAGAGATCACACCTTTATCTGTAAGATTCTTTTATCCTGTTTTTTCAGTCGACAGCTTATTGAAATTTATTAAGGTCAGCTAATCTGTTGAGTCAGTTTCAGTTACTAATGGTTCTACACTACTTGTAAATTGTAGTGGTTTTATAATCTGCTCATCAGAGAAAGGTCAAATTCAAGGTCAAAATGCAAAAAAAAAAAAAAATTGTCAGCCCCCTCCCCCCCAAAAAAAACAATCCTTTATTCTTGCTTTTAACTTGTCCAACCTTTTGGCATTCTTAGCCGCTCATAAGTTGAGGACGGCTGACGAAGCATAACATGAGTGCAGACATGAATCAGTGTGACTCAGGCAAAGACAGAAATAACATCACGGCTGTAATTACAGTGTAACACCGCAGCATGATTCATCAGCTCAGTCCAACTTCACCTCTTGGCCCTTTGACCTGGCCTTAATCCTCAGTTTGGGCCTCAGGCCTGAAGTGACGAATGTTTTTAGTTTCTGAATGAAGTGGAAGTTAAGAGATTTATAAAGAAAATGTAGTTTCTGTTTGCTGTTGAAAATATTCAGATCTCAGTGGGACTCCTCATTTTGCCTGCCAACAGCTAAAGCAGTACTTCTCAAATAGTGTGCCACAGTGTGCATAAGTGTGCCACAGCTGTAATGCATGAATGATAACAAGCCTTCAGTCACTAGGTGGCAGCAACTCATAGTCGTTTGTACAGACAAAATATACACTTTATTAGGTTCTTAATAGTATTTTAGTTCGCAGGGCTGTGGATGGGGGAGGGTGTGGGGGCCGTGAAAACATTTCTGTCCCCAAGGGGGGGGGGGGCATGACAGAAAATAATTAAGAACCACTGAGCTAAAGCAACATACTCTCAGTTAACTCTTATTGTAAAATTGCACTTTGCAAATAGAATAAAATCAAATCTTACCACACAGTCATCTGCTAACATCTCTCCTGACAAAAATGGGTCGTGGGAGTCTGATTCCCTCCGCAGCATCGTAACCTCTGACCTTGTTCACACGTTCACACAGTCCTGCTGATAGATAAACTTTTTGAATATTTCTGTGATCTGTAATAACTATACCATGATCTATTTTTAATTAGGTTAAAGTTATTTTGTAAATGACGGGAATTGTAAACTATGATTCTATGTTCATATATGGGATTTATTTAAAATTTGGTGCCTTTACTGTAAAAGGTTAATGCCAGTGGCAACAGCTATAGAACTAACTGTTTTTAAACTATCTATACAAATTAGAAATTGACTACTTCTCGTTGCAATATTTGGCTGTTTATGAACAAGCCTTTTCTTGTTTTTTTGGCTAACCATTAACTTCTTTGTGGTTGTATTCGACCCACTATTAAGTTAACATTAAGTCAAAATCTTTAATGGCTTTGACAGGTTTGTGCCATGCCTCTGTCTGACTATTAACTATTAATAGACTAATTACAAGTGTTTTAATGAGCTTTATGCCAATGCTAATTTTTTATTTATTAAGTTTTTATTTTTGATGACTCTTTTTCCTCTCAGGGGCTCCACATTGGCACCGCTGGTTATCTTTAGGTTTAGTGAAATGTTTTATTATTATTCATTGTAGTGTAAAGACATACTATTTAAATAAAAGGTTCTCCTCAAATAATTGTTTTGGTTCTAACTCAACTATTTTTTTTACTTATTTTTTATTTATATTTAGTCGTCATTAGGTGCGATTTTCGTACTTTCGCACGTATTTCATAATCTGAAGCAATTAAATGTAATTTAAATCTGACTGTGTCAACGGTATCTCTGACACAACCATTAGGTAATAACCTACGTCACTGGACAACTTTAACAGAAAATGTGAAAAGATGGGAAAATATACAAAACCATAACATTGCTATGCGCAATAAGAACAGAAACACTGTACAAAGGTAGGAGCTGAAGAAAATAATCCTAATGCATTTTTTTTTTACACAAAACGGAGTGAGTCATTTTACCTGACAAACATTTTGATTTCGACCGTTAGAGGATGAAGAGCAGCGGCACGCGACGGTAACGGTCATTGTGGCGGAAGTACAGTGAAGAAGGTGACGATGATGAAAAAGAAACAGAAGAAGAAGCCATGAGCTCGCGCCACTGCTGTGTGTGGTTGTTTGACATTGTGGTAAATCCTTTGTCTGACGTCATGAAATGATGTCAGCACGTTCGAGCACTGTCAGGCAGAGAGCGATAGAGAGAAGGAGAGAGAAAGATGCGCGTACACGCGCTCGCCGGTCGGGAAACCCGAGTGTCGCCAAAACACGGCGGCAGCGCGCCAAGCACCGGAAATGAAGGCATTATTTATTTTCTGTAGAAAATTTAAAAAAAAAAAAAAAAAAATTATTTTAATCCAAACCAGACATAATCTTTGTCCCATTTTTTGATGATAAAGTGATAAAGTTGCTGATAAATATTTAATTAATGGGTCAATAAGGCTGTTAGGATTGTCCTCTCTCCTCTTACGTGTTAGTGATGTTACATGTTCTTGTATGTCCCTCGTCCAGGATGCTGGTCAGTATCAAGCCCTGGACGAAGACCATTTGGTGTAGACCACACGTGTCAAACTCAGGCTCGGGGGCTAAATCTGGCCCGCAGTGTAACAATATTCAGCCCGCTAGATCATATGAAATGTGTACTAGAGCTGGCCTGCCAGTATATAGATCCTATATACTGGCAGGATTTGTAGTATTAGCGGTGTATGCACTATGTTATAGCACATACATTTTTTGTTGTTGTTTTAGCTTTGGAAAAAAAAAGATTTACATTCAAATTTACATTTTAAAATTGATTTAATGCTGTAAAACATTGTACAAACTGTTCAATCTGGTTATTCATTTTGCCAAAGTTTGTAATGTTCACTAAAACGTTACTAAGTATTATCATGAAAAAAAATTGAACTTTAATTATTTGTAGCTATAGTAGTTGCTTAACTGTGTAGCGCTGAAATCTGTAAAATTACTAAAAGTTGTAGTTTTCGGATGTTACCAGGAGGTGGACACAAAGAACAGAAAATGGGTTAAATATACTTATACCTAAACATCACTTACAAAAACAGTCTTTAAACAACAACAAATTCACCTGGGACTTTTCATATTGTTTCATTGTAAACCATGGCTGTGTGTTTGAGTGTACTTTTGTGTTATTGCTGTAGTGTTTGTTGTTTTATCTCTTTAGGTCGACCCTCCTGTCTCCTCCTAGTCTAGCTCGCCCTCTCCCTGCCCTCTGAGAGACGAACCAGGCAAGTCTCTGTTTGTCCCAGACATAGACACTTTTTGTGTCACCATAAAGTCTTTTTTAGAAATAAAGTATCACTGCTAGTTTTAGACATAAATATGAAGGGACATGAGTCTGTGGTGAGGGGATGTTAGTAAACATCATTCTTATGAATTTTCTGGTTTCAGTCATTAGTTCACTGTCTACAGGAGAATATGAAGTTAGTTTTTGCCAAAAAAAGCTTTTTTTTTAGCAATTAACAAGCAAACTAATTAAACATTTTGGCATTTTTCTTTTGCATTTTTATGTTTAGTTTTTGCATAGATAATATGGTTGTATTTGGTATACCAAGATACAGTGTACGCATTTTTAGCCTTAAACTTTTTTGTTCTGAGTTATGTTTGTGATTCTTGGGCTGATAATGTTTTAAAACACTCTCTTATTGGTTCCTTATGGTTTTAAGTGCATCACAAGCAACACTGTGGTGCAGGATTAATGGATTGAAGAAAAAAAACTTAATGAAGGCTCATTTTGTCCTAAATGTCCCACGAGCCCATGCTACAGCCTGTAGACAGCACAGAAGGGATGCTGAATGAGATAAAGTGTAATTATGAGAGGCTTAATGGCAAAGAAGGGAGGGGATCCTCATTATGGCTGCATGTGGACCATGTAAATGACCCCTGGTGAACACGTAGGCCATACAGCACAGTCTGTAGAACTCAAAGACAATTTCTCTTTCCTTTTACAAACCACTCTTTCTTTCTTTCTCTCTTGTTCTTTCTTTCTTTCTCTCAACCACTCTTTCTTTCTTTCTCTCTTGTTTTTCTTTCTTTCTTTCTTTCTTTCTTCCACATTAACATGTTGCACCAGCACTGCTGTCCTGACAACTCTTTCACTCTGAATGGTGTCCATTGCAGCACAAAGCTTCTTTGCATGGAGAAATCTAAAATCACCATTCAACCACACAGGCTGAAGGAATATGGCATATGGCTTTGATAACTGGGGACGCTGAGCACCATTTGGTCCCTTGTGCTGTTTTTTATGTGTTCACAGGGGAGAAGGAGAGGCAGGAGAGGAGGGAAGTAACAAATCAGCAGCAGCAGATAGAGAGGTTTGTGTATACAAGCAGGAGATGCAGACTCGATAAGAAAATTAAGGAAAAGGGTGCAACTCAAAAAGAGCCAAACTGATGCTACCAACCAACCAATGAGATTCCCTCCCACCCTTTAAATCTCTCACTTAGTGACACAGAACGAAAAGAAGAGTTCAAGGATAGCTCCAGGAGCTTGTAGTTAGAATTTTCTGGAAGCTCAAAACGTTCCTTGGATTTTTTTCTGCCTCCATCAGATTTGGAGGTCAGACTAAACACAGCCCTTCAGGACTCCATATCTCTGAGGTCACAGGTCTCTGGCTCAGCGTGAGCAGTGCAACAGACAACTTTTGGATTAAAAGAAAAAAATAACACCGCTCTATCGTTTTAGATTTGAGGGAACAAAAAACTGCACCCAGGACAATTGCAGGTTGTGGGGAAGTGAGAACACCCAGAGGTGGTTCGAGGATTGTGATTTGGTCGTGTGAGGTATGCACTTCTGTGGCCGAGAAGTGAGACAGAGCATCCACAGACATTCAGGGTGACACTCAGAGTCTGTGAGGTGGCTGATGACTGCAGATCATTTCTACTCTGAGGACTTGGAGTCACATTTTTCTCAGTTCACAGACGACATGGTGCCTTCTCTACTGACTGTGAGGTTGCTGAATTTCAGCGTATGTGATTTCTGAGTCCTAGACACCACAGAAGAACTAGATGAAGCAGTCAGAGCAGACTAAGGACACCCCCCTGCTGTGGGACTTTGACCAACCCTGGAGCTCGATCATCAAACCTGCTGCACGTCTTTGCCTCAACACCTTCGACTTCTCCGACCTCTGGGATGAGGAAGACAGCACTGAGGATGAGGGAACTTCTTCTGTCAGTGATCTGTTAACTTGCACTGGAAGCCCTCCTGGGCCCCTTCCTCTTCCCCCTCCTCCACCACCTCTTCCTACTGTTGCCTCACCTTCGCCCCCCCTTAAGCAAGCAACCAAATCCCGCACCCTGAAGCTCCACTGGAGGGAAATGAAGAGTCTGCCTCCCCTCCCAAGAATGACCCGCTTTGGGACTCAGACAATTTGGGCTGCTCTTGAACCGGTCCACCTGGACACAAACAGACTGGAGTACCTGTTTGAGTCCAAGGTCAGTGGCATCTGCTTTAGTGCAGCCTCTGGACGACAGGTAAATGTCTGCTTTAATACAGTTTCTATAAATGCCACATGTTATTGGCCTGATACCATACAAAATATAGTTATGTTTTTTAAAGCAACTTGGTTAGAAGCATCTCATCATTTCAGTCTCTCTCAACAGACCTAGGTGTGAAAGTATTATAGACTGCAGTTTGGTTTCTTGAAGTTGAAGTGTTTTGCATACCAGAAATGGAATTCTTTGGTTTATGGATTAATGTTGGGACATACAGACAGTGTTCTGAAATCTGTTTTTCCAATCTGTCTTGAAACCCTGCAACCTCATAAACGTGATAACAAAGAATTATTTTACACCCTCGACCAGAGTTGACATTACCTTGCCTTCTTTGCATCCCAACACAGAAGCAGCCCTGTGTCTCTGTTCTGGGAATGAAGCGCAGCAACATCATCACCATAGCACTGAGCTGCCTGCCCCCTCCTCGTCTCCTGCCCCCTGCCATCAACAGCATGGACAGCAGTGTACTGGACAGAGAGGACATTCAGGTTTTGATTTTGATTGAAGCATCATTATTTGAGTGGAGATGTCAGAAGTTGTCTTACACTTTTTTTTTCTTTTAAAGCGTCTTCAAACATTAATCCCAACAGAAGAGGAACTTTCTCTTATTAATGACGCCAAAGCCAAGAACCCTCAGGCTCCACTGGCCCAGGCTGAGTCCTGCCTTCTCACTTTAGGTGAAATCTCTCACCTCAGCTCCAGACTTCAGCTGTGGGCCTTTGCTCTGGATTATGACTCCTTAGAAAGGGTAGGTCACAGTGAATTAACACGTATACTTCATCTACCTCATTCTTGGGGCTATGTGTGCAGTGGTGCAGAGCAGGACCTCTGCCTGCCACCAGAAGGCTCTGGGTTCACCAAGCCCACAAATCTGAGGGTGAGCTTCATCTGGAAGAATTGCCAGTATTAAAACTGCCCAATCACTGTGGCAACCCCTAAAAGGGATTATCATTTTCCTTCTTCTTCACTATATGTACCACATTAAATGTTTTTATTCCCATGTTGGTGTACCAGTGTTTATATAGCCACAGATATGAACATGTGGTTTAGCTCTAAAAGAGTATTTTTTCATTTGTTTCACTCTTATAGTTATTGCCTTTATAGTATGTTAAAGCATTTTTCCACTGATCATTTTCCTTGGAAGTCTTTCCTCATCTCTGTTTTACAAGAAGTACTGTTACATTTTATTCCATTTATTCTATTCTGTTATGGTTTGTATATAGAGACGTTGCTAAAGTGACAAATATGACCATATTGTTTCTTCCAACAGGAGATTGCAGAGCCTCTCTTCCATCTAAAGCTGGCGATGGAACAACTTGCAGCCAGTCAGACTTTTAGACGTATTCTGGCAACAGTGTTAGCAATTGGTAACTTTCTAAATGGACGTAAGGTGCGTGCAGTGTGGCCATAAAATGTATACTTTTCTTAAAAAACATTTCAGTTACAGAAATTATCTTTTTTGTGTGTTGTTGATCTGCCAAGGCTCGAGGCTTTGAGCTGAGTTACCTGGGCAAACTGTCTCAGGTGAGAGACACGCACTCTCGTCAGCCCCTGCTGCATCATGTCTGCATGCTCCTCCAGCAGCTCTACCCAGAATGCTCTGATCTGTACTCGGACATCGGTGCAGCTATCAAAGCTGGAAAGGTGTGACGATGCACACCTGTTGGTTGCAAGTTGGTATTTGATTGATGGAGAACATTTAAACATGGGTTGTCCGTTGTGTTCATCGTTACAGTGTGATTACTCGTTAGTCCATTCCAATCTTTGGCAGCTGGAGGCCATGTGCAAAGCATCATGGGAGCAGCTGAAGATGCTGGATAAGGCTGACGAAAAGAGGAAAGGAGGAAAGTGGGAGAAAATTCGATCTAGAGGAGGAGATGAGGCTCTGCTGCCTGAAGGTTCCCTCCGACAGCAGCTGCCGAAGATTCTAAAAGAATGTGAGGGGAAACTCAAAGTCCTTAAAGCCGTCCATCGTCGAGTTATTAACAGGTGGGTTTTCTTTCTCAGATTCGATTAGGAATACAATGCATAAAATTTGTTAAAACTATATATGTGCATTTCAAAACCTTCCATATTGGGTTTCTAGGTTCCACTCCTTCCTCTTGTTCCTGGGCTACTCTAAAGCTATGGTGAAAGACACACGAGCTGAAGACTTCTGCAAAACTATCAGTAACTTTTCTCTGGAGTACAGATCTATGCGGCAGAGCATCCTGCTGCAGAGAGAACGGGAGCGACAAAGAAGTGCACCTGAAGGTCCCAGCCCCAGCACTCCCATAGGCCAAAGGAAACATCTACAATCATCCACACAGGTTTGACCCACTTATGCTGTGTTTCAAATTTATTTAACATCTTATCAGATTTTGCCTAAATGCTTTTCTAATTCAGAATGACAGTGAGAAAAGTGAAGAACAGTGTAAGCTGGAGGAGGTACTTAGAACACCAGAGTCCACACTGAGGCCGGACGCCACACTGCCTCGAAACCGAAGGAAGATGGCCAACATCCAAGGTGACTTAAATAGACACAAGTGACTTCTATTTTTAATCTGTCAAAACTATAATAATGAAACCATATTTTTTTTTGTTTGCAGCTCAGTTTTCTGGAAACCTGAAGTTGTGATCCTGCTGTGATACTTTTATTATTAACCTCTAAATTATTATCTAATAGATTCATTGTTTTATTTTAAAATGATCTCTGACAAATGGAAATGCCTGGCATACCATGTGTCATTTAGTATTGATTGTGTTTGTTAATTCTTGTTGATGCATTAAAATTTGTTTTGATAGCAAAAATAACAAGTCTTTTACATGTCAAAAAGTACAACTATAAAATGAAGAATAATCTGTTTTCATTTTGGATTTAGAAAATTAATAAAAAGCTAAAACATTGCAAGTCAAATATATGATGCCAGTCAAAAATAAACTGAAAATACAGAGTAATGAGCAAAAATGTAGCAGCAACATGACCAAAGGTTTACTTCTGTATTATTTGTCTCAAATTCCTTTTAGCCACAAATGCGTATGACAAAGAACTGACTAAACTACTGGCCAGAAAGCAAAGTTCTGAAACATTTACTCAAAGCTGTAAAAAGAGAAATTTTGCAGTGTTTTTCAAAAAACAGCAAAATTAGACAAAGTGGAGGTTCAATGCTTTACAAACAAATAAGTAAACTGGTGTTTGGGCCCAAACGTAGATACAATAATAGCCAATCGCGAGTATGAATGTTAAGCAAATAGCTACAGGTTAAAATTCAATTTGTAGTGAAACCAACAAAGGTATAAATTAGCCAAGAGCCATTTTTACATTTTTGTTACAGGTTAGTCTAATCTTGTGTATTTGTCTTACAGGCAATAGAAACACATGTTTTCAATTAAATTTGCATTTAAATTAAATTTAAAATGTGCATAATAAACAAAAAGACAATTCTGGTAGTACATAGAATCATGCATTTTTAAAGCTAGTGTCCTTTTAAGTTCACGCGTAAAACAACGCTTAAAGAATTCGCTACACCCCTTCAAAAGTGCTTCCCACCTCCTCTCTCTGTCTCAATTAGTACAGGACTTGACAACGGTCATCGGCTGCTGACGTCATAACTGACAACCGCTTGTACAAATACTTAACGTCTCCACCCACTAAAGAGAAGTTAGCTGTCCAATCACAAATCCTGGCGCAGTAACGGTGTACGCCCGCCTCTTGAGTGTTTGGAAGTGGAGTCGACGCCATTTTGTATTCGCCGTTTTCAAGGTGATAGAGAGACTGCGGAACTGCGAGTGGCTTATTTCCCTACTAGAGTTACAAACAAAACACCGTTGACTTTTACTCATTTTTAATAGTAAGCTCCTGGTGAGTATTTTTTCCGAGAGATTTTATTTTTCCTTCTACATTTTTGTTTTTTCCTGACTGGATTTTTTGTTTTTATTTTTAGAGCAGCTTTTCCTCCATGGCTGATTTTCCTGAGCCTGTGTTTGGTTTCAATGACGTACATTTTTATTTTTATTTTATTTTTCATCAAGACATTTATTATTTCCTTACAGGGGCTGGTGTGCTGCTTGTTTGTTTGTTGTAGAGAAAAATGAGTACAAATCCTGTCTTTTTTGGACAGGTGTCGGCCCATTTCTGATTTACATGTTCTTTTTTTAACGCTTGTTCACAGACATTGTTATTTTCGTGCTTTCTTGCTGTTTTCTGTGACATGTTTATTTTGTGCAGCACATCTTCTGATATGTGATGTACGTAGGTTTAGGTAAGGTGTTTTTGCGCAAAATAGATCTGTTTGACATCATTTTTGGAGTGCCATGCCCCTCCAATTAATGCAGATTCAATCAAAACATTGGTAGTACTGGCATTAATTTTTTTGTCAGGAAATCTGTTCAACGGAGCCATGTAGTATGAAAGAAGGTCTGTCTTGACAAAATTTAATGCCTTAAATATTAGTGTGCTGAGGTGGTGGGTTAGCTCTTTTTGTTTATATCTAATACTATTTAGCTTTCCCATCTGTCCTACTGAAAGTGCTTTTAACATAGTAATAGCCATTTTGTACGTTAATTGTTATCTCAACATGCTGTTTAACATAAAAACAATATGCATTTTTTTTCTCTAGCAGATGTACAATTCAGTTTAGATACTTCGAGAGAGAAAAAACGTATCCATTAACATCAATGTCTCTATTGACAGTTACAAGACAAGCTGGCATTGTGAGTGACATCACTGCCACATACAGTAAAAAACCTCAAAGTTCATAGTAGCATCACTTTTCGTCAGTCATTAATAATAAAACATCAGAGATAATAGTGACCACAATGCCTTCTCATTTCTAAATACATATGTGACAGACCCAATTATATGTCCAAGATAAAGATAATTTAGCAATAAAGATCAGCTTAAGTTAACTTTTATTAAATTTACTACTGAAAAAGGAAGCATGAACAGTATATTGGAGAGCACAATTGATATCTTCTGCTTCACATTATAGGATTAAACTAATTTAATATTAAGTCCAAAAAACATTGATATGGTGGAACATTTTGGTGCTAATTCTAATAAAATATTTGATAAGATATGTCATGTATCTCTTACTTATACACAGTTTACTCAAGGTAATAAGCAATTGTTGACGTAAGGCATTGAAGCACCACAGGGCTGTAGGGGGCGCTGTTTTGTAGCCAACGCTTCACTCCTAAAATTTATGTCAGACATTTTTGCTGCTGCGTCACAAGAAAATTCCTTTTTTAAGACATAAATCTAAAACCATTGATTTTTAATTAAATAATTAGTAAAAAAAAAAATCAGCCAATTGAGAATTTTAAACTTGGGACTTGAGAAGTCCGTAACAAAATGAGAGAAGAGAAATATTTATTATAAAACATTTTTTTACTTGTGTGTGATTTTTTTTAACTTAATTTCTAGAGCATTCTTTTCTAATTTTGACATTTTGTTTCCCCCTGTTTAGTTTTTGAAGCCACTTTTTTGAACAGCGGCAAAATCGTAAGTTGGTCTCAATCTTTTTTTTACCCTCCCTTTTTTTCAACAACATTTGCATCTTTTTTTATAATTGTAAATCTCACCCCTCTTATATCTATCCCAGTTCTACCCTTTTGAATTTCTTGAACAAACAGCATGTAGTGTTTTTTTTTTGTGCTGTGAAATATAAAAGTAGCTTTTTAACTTTTAAAAAGTTTATTTTTTATTAGTAATATTATAATCAATATTTTGTAGAGTTTGCATGTTTTTTAAGGTCTATATGATATTTTCATAAAAGGTTGACCTGCTCTTTGAAAGCCTAGGAATTTTTCATTACAGCCACAATGACGACAGCCTCTTAATTTAGCACTTTACACCAGCATGGCTATGGAATTTTTTTAATTATTATTATTATTGATCCGTAATCACTAATTTTTTTTTTAATAATATAATATATATGTTCCTTCTCTGGTATTTTTTATTGCATTTTTGCTACATTCCAATGTCAAGAAAAACTCAAAGCCTAATTTTTACCATGAAGTCGATGTTTTCAGCAATGAGATCAAGCAACGCTGCTCATCTTCTTTTTTTTTACCTCCAGGGGGCAGCAGCTGCAAAGTCTTTTACTGTTACAAGCACAAACATTCACTGCTATAACTCTGAAACCCACTTACTTAAAGTTACACTGTTACTCCTGGATGCCCAAATGAGGCTGCAAGTAGTAAAATTGTCATAACAAGAAAACAAACAAACAGCACATCAAACTAATCAAATGAGATTTAATTTAAGATAATTAAACTTTTGGTACTATTTGAAAAGCTTATTCAACAGTTTAAAAAACAACTATTGGCGTTTCTAAGAAGATACAGAGGAACAGAAAAAACAACATTTAACATAAGTAACCAATATTTAAGTTAAACAGTTTTATTTTTAAATACTGTATTTGCAGAACTAGTTGCCCTTCTTTCTAAGCTAACTTAGCTTAGCTGCATCCTGAACATCTACTCCCATTTAATTGAAAATAAAAAAAATCAAAATAAAGCAATTAGGTATCTGCTCAATTAATTAAATGGTAATGAGTATAGAAATAGCCAGAAATTGCCTTGATAACAAAGAGACACCAGGGAATGTCCAAAAGAAATTTAGTCTAAAAAAATACATTAACATTTTTTGAAGAGTGTTAACATGAATATTAAAGTTTCATACTTTCAAAAAAATAATTACATGGTTAACCAGTAGATTGTTTAAGATTATGCTGGGCTTCCAAAGTGTTGGTACTGAAATGGAACAGTCCAAAAATAAGGGAAGGTATGAGCCGGTTATAAAAGTGTCTTTTCTTTGTGAAAACGAATTACAAAAAGAATGTGTTGACTTGAGCTCTATTAAACCCATATCATCTGAAAAGGGCCTGCCAAATAAATGTTTTGCTGAGCATCCTGGGATATCCTGTAAAATCCCACCTTGTCAGTCTGCCAGGCAATTGACAGAACTTGAGCCAAATCATGTAGACAAGAGCAGGGACCAAATCCAGCTTTGGCCAGACAGACTGATGTAAACCCATGTTATCCCTCTGAGACCGAGAGTCTTTCTGGCAGCAGGCCAGGATGTGTTGGCAGTTGAGAAGACAAAGAACATAAGGGTCAGAGAGCAGAATATGACCAAGAAAAATCCAAACGATGTGACCCTGAGATACTTTATTTCTGACAGTGTCCTATCCTAAGTACCAGGTTTGTTCAAGGAAAGTCGTGAAATATCTCTGGACTGCATTATTACGTAATTTGACAGTGCTGGAGGTGAATGTGACAGCAGTTTGGTTGCACTCTGGCCTTGATTTAAGACTCAGGAACTTCACACTACTAGCTGATCACTACAGTTTGTTGCTTTTTGGGGTTTGATGATTGCAATCATAACTAGGTCAATTTCAGCAGAACAAGGAGATTGAAGGCTGGGTAGAAATTGTACTGCATTTACGCTTTACATAAATTGCAAAATGTTCAAAACAATAACATCTGCAATCAGCATTAATGCCAAATAGATATTTAAACATTTTCAATTGATAATTTTATTGATAACCAATAATATAGAGTATCTCTTATATATGTCTTTGTCATTTACACTGCCAAAATGTGCTCCTGTTGGGTTGCTGAAGATGTTGCACAAAATTTGCAACATATGCAGGATTCCCCAGGTTTTAGGTTATTTTTTTTCAGAAGAGCCAGAAAAACAACATTATAGAATTTTTAAAATTTTTTTCAAAAAGAAATTCCTCCAGCTGATATGTAAACAACCACAGATTTTGAACTTTTACAAAGTATTAAAATGTATAGAATGCATTAGTATAAACGTTGTTCTCCATGCAGTCTTGCTTCTGATTGTTAAGTAGATTAGGCAATAAATTCAAAAGCCTGATTTTAAGAAGCTATAAAGGCACACAACCAGAATAATAGTAGAAAGTTAGTAATTTATTGTAAGGTGTAAAGTAAATTAATTCCTATTTTATGTTTAATTTTCTTCCAGATAAAAAAACAGTAACAGCTCAAAACCAGATTTACAGTGCATACTCCATTAGACCAATGTTCCAAACAATTTAATTCCTTGTTGTAAATTTGGTCAAAAAAGCAAAACAGTGTTTGAAAAAACAATCCATAAAAACGTTGTTTAAAAATATATGGGTGTAGGTAAGCTGGATAGAAGCCATGTCATGGCTATGCTAGCTTAATATAAAGCAAAATATGACTTTTGTCCGTATAAATCAGCATGTCCACAGTTTTTTGGCTTGGGAGCTACTTTTCAAATGACCGGGGTAAAGTGATCTACCTACATTAAAATCTATGTATGTATAAATAAATATTTACTACTTTGATTAAATGGCTGTAGTTGTATTGCACAATACCATCTGACTGAATACTTGTATGGTCTTTACTTTAGCCCTAGTGATTAGCATCTTAAAATAGAATTAAATCTATAATTTGTAGAAAAATATTTGTTTCTTTAAATGTAATTGCTCAGGATCTACCAGCACTCCCTTTGAGATCTACTGGTAGATCCAGATCTACTTATTAGGTACCCCTGGTATAAATATTTAAAAGCACACATAAACAATAGCAAGGAGTTAATAAATGCTTAGAGGATATTAAACGTCAGACCAAAGATAACTGAAACTAAGCCTAAACATACATTTGGTTTGTTTCGGAATTGGCTTAAGTTTCCTAAATTATCAACTGTTAGCCTTGTAAAAGGTTACTAACTTAAATGAAATTTATTCCAAGGTTTTATTTATTTAATTACATCAAAGCTAGCTGAGATAACTAGGTTGGTTTTTAGAAGTAAGCAAAAAATAAATTAAAAAAACCCGAATGGTTTGCTTAGGAGAGATCTAATATCAAACCTAAATAGACATGAAGATACCTTAAAATAAAAGCTAGTGTTCGCTGTGCATATTTGGGAAACACCCAAATATGTCTTAACCACATTAATATATAGTCAAAATTCTAACAATATTCTTTTAAAATACAGCTATACGCATGAACTCGTGTTTTTTTTTTTTTTTTTATCAATATTTTTGGGGTTGGTTTGGTTTAGACCTGAAAGAGTGGGGCATGTAGTTGATGTTTCCACACCACACTGTCCTGTTTCCACCTTTCATAACCCCATGATGACCTTGTTCTCTCAGCAGACTCTGACAGGCAGACAGATCTCCACTGAACCACATACAGGCAATGGAGTGAGTGCTGGCAGCTTCATCATCAGATCATTGACTGTCTCATGACTGTTTTCATGTCTACCTGTAAACTTTCTGCTCTCTGTGTATTAAAATGTACTGAATAATGTATTATTGAATGTAATAGAGAGAAGAAATTGCATGGTTGTCTGAACTAATAGTCCCTCAATCCAGCAGATGGCGCTATAGCTCAAGCTTCACCTTAAAGCCATTCCAAATACCTTCTTGACCCATTCTGTAAAAAATATTTTTCTCTTTTGTAATGATGATTAAAACGTTAAAATGTTAATTTTTTTGTATTCTTTAGATACGAACAAAAAAAGCTGATACTAATTTTTGTCAAACATATCAACTTTAAGGGTCTATTCACACTGAACAAGTCCAAGACATCAATTATAGTCTATTTAGTCTAGCAAGAGCAAGAGTTCAAGTGAAAGTACCTCAGGTTTTGTAAGTATACCAAGGCCAGCCCAGATATAACCTAAGGTAATCCGTAGTGATTGCTAAAAATAAGCCAAAAAAAATTAGCCTACCATTACATAGCTGTAGGCCAGGTGTGGCTTTTTATTTGAGTTGTCTTTCATTTCTCTAAGGGAATTTACTCTACGCCCTTTTTATATCTTATTTGTAATACACTCCAGTGCACATTGTAGTGAGTCCAGTAGGCCGGGAACGTTATTATTATGCACTGATAGTACTAGGTTTTAAAGTGGGGTGCTTATCCATACTGTGCCAGCAGTATAACTGGATGACAATGGCATGTTTCAAGTTTATTTTTAAATTACACATTGTTATACTACATATTATAATATGTATGACATAATATGACAAAACTATGGCTTGTGGCTTGACCAACTATAGTATAATAAATGGATCTTTTACTCATTGAATAATGTTGCATGTATGTGCATCGCCAGGATGCTTTACCACACGCTGATTAGTTGAAATGATATGTCTTTGGACCTTTAAGATTAATATTTGAATGGCAAAGATTTACTGCTGTAAATCTTTCTCATAATTTCACTACAAGTTCAATGCAACACAAATTGCTTGGCATTCAGACACCATTGTGTCTAACCTTGTTGTCGTGACAAAACTGTACTAATATAGGCTTGCACATGTGGTCACTGTTTAAGGACCATACAGAGACAATGCCAAAAATTATCCTTACTCATGTTGTTCACACTGTGAAGCTTTTTTGTCGGTGTGAACTCACCCTTATCAATTATTATTTAACAGCACTTCTGTTCTATTTTCATAGTTCTGCATAGTTGCGGTGATGGGCAAAAATCACAGCTTTTATTTATTAATTTTTCCTTCAAAACTCCCGTCTGTAGTTGGTCGCCCATCTCCAGCTTGATGGCCTGCAGCAACATCACCAACAAGAATGACCCGCGCTCCCTCAACTCCCGCGTCTTCATTGGGAACCTGAACACGCTGCTGGTCACCAAGGCTGATGTTGAAACCATCTTTGCCAAGTATGGCAAAATTGTGGGCTGCTCGGTGCACAAGGGCTACGCCTTTGTGCAGTACTCCAATGAGAGGACTGCCCGTGCTGCCGTGGCTGGAGAGGATGGCCGCGTGCTCGTGGGGCAGGTCCTAGGTGAGGGTACATGTTGGCAGGTTTTCTTTATGATGTGCTGATGTGGTTTTTGTTTTTTGCTGTTCATTTTTATTTTTTTTTTTATTTTTAAGATTTTTTAAATCTTTTAGTAGTTTCTGAGCAGGAGTTGCTGTATTTTCAATACGTTAAAATGTTCTTTTGTCCTGTGTCAGACATTAACCTAGCTGGTGAGCCAAAGCCTCATAGATCAAAGACAGGAAAGCGTGCAGCTGGAGACATGTACAGGTGAGTGGGCATACACAGTGCCACGCACTGTGTATCACAGATCGCTCTTGTAATTTTTTTCCTTTATTGCTGCTTTTTCTGCAGTTCATCGTTTGACCTGGACCTGGACTTTCCAAGGGATTATTATGACAGGTACAGTATAAAGTTGAGTTTAGCAAGCTCCTCAAATGTTTGTGCAGTCAATGTGATAGTGAGTTTATAATGATAATACAAATAAAGCAGAATAAGTTTCATAGATATTATTGGAAGCAGAATTAAACCACACTGAGCAGGCATTTTAGCAACGGTGGGGAGAAAAAAGAAAACTCCCTTTAAACAGGAAGAAATGTCCAGCAAGTGTTGCCGTCTGCCTAAGCAAAGAGAGAGTGAACAAAGGGGGGTGGATGGGGTGGGAAGAAAGAAAGCATGGGCAGACGTACAACACTCAAATATATAGAGTACAGATTCACACTGATAATACTACAGTTGTCCCATTTTAGTTGTGTATAATCATGTAATCCTATAGAATTCTTAGAGCTGATCTGTTTCTAGCCTTAAAACTAACTACATGATTATTAGACTCACCTCCCATCAAGCTGTTTAAAGAACTATTTCCCTCGTATTAAAGCATCTGCACTTCTTTAAATTAAGCACTAGTGTCCTAGTGAATATTATGGTGTCCGACATTGTTGTGACGTAATTACACTCGGACTGTTGTAACCTCATCTCATTGCCGCGGACGTGAATATTCATATCTTTCTGAATTTACATTTAGCTTTAGCCAGCAGCTTCAACCCGCCCATCCCCCTAACCCCCACTCCCCCGGATTACAAACCTAACTATAGTCGCTGCTTCAGCGAGTGTGTCACTTAGTGTGGATTGTCAGTTTGAAACGTGAACTCGGTGGTAAACCGGCCTCGGTTTAGGACTACGCATTTTATAACGAACAGTAACCTAGGTGTTCTGTCTGTCTCTCGGCTGCTCGGGAGTTGCTGAGAGTGAAGCTACGGAACCTACCGCTGTTCGGCTAGCACCAACTAGAGGGTTTCCTAAAAGGTGCGACGCCATACACTCGGCCTCGCCTCCATAACTCCTTTTGTCTTTAATTACAAGTACCGATATCTCAAAGAGGCACCAAAGTATCATAAGTATTGACACAGGAGGAGAGAACAGGAGAGTGAGAAGCCATATGCTCAGTAGGCTAGGCTACAAACACCGTTAGAGGGCGAGTTAAGACAGCTAAATATCAGTTGTAGAGGAAGCACTGTGATAAAGCATAAAATGTTTATTCATAATATGTATACAGTGAAATAACGATCACTCTTGACGGAGCAGCAACGAACACCGCGCACATACACTAGTAAAACAGGAATTGACGCAATACGTTGCCGCAGGAAGTGCGTGAATTGTTGACTATCGTGGGCTTAGGTTTAGTATTTGTAATGTTTAACTATGTGTAATGTTTAGCTGTTCGTGGGCTATATTAGGGTTGTTTTATTACTGTTTTATTGTTTTTAGCTGTACAACGCTGTATTGCTGCATGTGTGGTTATTGTATGAGCTGATGTAGTTTTGGTTGCCTCGTTGTCACACTTGTAACTGTTACTTTTCTTACGTTTTTTTTGTGTCTCCTCTCAGGATGTATTCTTACCAGTCCAGGGTCCCCCCACCACCTCCACCTCCTCCTTCAATGTCCCGCCCTGTCATCCCCTCCAAGCGTCCCAGGGTCAGTCTGAGTGGAGCTGTGAGCAGGAGAACCAAGGGCAGCTCCTCTTCCTCTAAAAGCGGCCAGAAGACGTCACGTCCCAGTGAGTGCCTCCTTGTGATACTTGCTCCGTCTGAGGATGCTCCTGTTATTTTTTTTAAGAATTTTTTTTTCTCTTGGTGCTACATCCACAGTGAGGGTGGACGATCTTTACTCTGTCAAGAGAGAGCTCACACAGATCAAACAGAAAGTGGACAGCCTGCTGGAAAGTCTAGAGTACATGGAAAAAGTGATGAGCAAAAATTCTGGTAAGAATGTTAAGCAAATTCCTAATCTTGACCTTTTCTATGATTAAATATAAAATATCTCTTCTTTATATTCCTTAAGAATAAGATTAATCAGGGAGAGCGAGAGGCCGCTGCATCTGCACGCGCCACCATGCTCCATATGGTTATAATTGTACCTGAATGAAAATAATTCATTCAGTTTTTTTTTCCTGTCTGTTAACGTTATCAGATGTCAGATGAACTTCCGATCTTCTGTGTTAAACCTCATTCACTTCTCTCTGTCTTCCTGTTTTTAACCAGACCTAAAGGTCGAGCCTGGCGAGGTGTCTCCTCAGCACTCATCCTGCTCCAGCAAGAAGGACTACGGCCTGAAACAAAGAGGAGAGATTAATGACTCTGAGGAGGAGGAAGGAGATCTACTGCTGGAGGATGAGTATGAGGAGGAGGAGGTGACTTGTGCAGAGTGACCCACCTCAGTGAATTTTGTTTGTGTCCTTGCTGTTTATTGAATCTCACTCCTGACTTCTAGAGGATTCTTCTCTTCTCTTTTCTTTCCTCATTGTTCATTGTGTCCTAATAAGAACTAATAAGAAGGATTATACTCTCATCTACATGTTTCACTGTGAGGACAGTATTCTTGTTGAAGTGTTGCATCACACTCATTCAACACATTTCTTACTTTATTTTACAGTAAAACTTTTTAAAAAGTTTGTACTTCTGCGTTTGTGTCTTTGTACTTCTTTTTTGTCTCCTCTTCTTGACACCTGTAAACATTTTGATCACTTTGTTTCTTTTTTTTATTTTTTATTTTTCCTCATTTTTATCTGATGAATCGCAGATGAAAAACACAGAAGTGGAGTTGAAGGAGGAATGTGAGCAGGAGGAAGGCGAGGACGACGGTGACAGCATCAATGGAGAGCAGTCCTAAAATCACCACATGCACTCAAGCACGTGCACAGCTCTTCTCTTGTCTATACTCACAATTTCTTCCCTCTTCATGTGCTTGTTTCTGCTGACCTGACGACCAGACGTTTGTTTACAGGACTGTAGTTAGAAATGTTTGTCTACAATCACACAAATTCTTCAGAATTTGATTTTATTTGTTTGCTTTGTCCTTTGGATTCTTTATTTTAAGGGAATATTTTGACACTGGATGAATTTGTTGCATTTTAGTTAAGTGTGAAAAGTAAAATACTCTGTTTAAACAATAAAGACATTAAAACCGTTGCAAAATATTGACTTTAAGCTCCAGTTATTTTATTCAGCTAAATGAATATGGCAAAAGTGTCTCTAAATTGCAGAGTATGTTATTTAATTTTTAATTTTTTTTTTGTAATGATCAAATTTGATTGTTTCCGTAAATATATAGTATGTGAATCAATCTGCTGCAATGTGGCTTTCTAACCAGCAGATGGCAATCTATAGCAAGTGAGCTCGACACAACTGCATTTGCTTGGCCAAGTTTCAGCGAATGAAAAGTGGGACAAAGAATATGTATGAGTACAGGCGCCAGGAAGCTGGCAACATGGGGATAAAACGTTTGTCATGTAGGAATTTTGTAATGGTTTTACAGACCATTAAACGTAAATTAAAGAGCTAAACGTCATTGAACGAGTTTTTTTTCGATGTATGCTTGTTTTTTCTCCAAACTAGCAGTTTTCACCTGTATTTTCACCCAGGTTTTTGCAGTAATTGCCAAACGTTCCTCGAATTATCTGCTCATGTTTAATTAAAACGTAGTCCTTAGACATGTGGGAGTTGATATATGCAACATAAGAAACTTTAAAAAGTCCTATGTAAACAAGTCTGCGGGTATCAAAACGTCCCATGATGCATTGCTGGTGTTGACTAGGAAACCACTTCACTGTTTGAACGTGTGGCGTAAGTTTACAAAAACATTTTACTAGCGTTTTTATTAAAACAAACGGAACAAAAAAGACTAACTATATACAAACGTCTGGTATTTTAAATCATGCATTTAATTTAACAAAACTCTTCACGGTTATGGCTTATACTAAAGAGAACCCCAAAACGTCAATTTTCTCGAAGGACTTTCTCAAACGGAAAAGTTATCTGTTTGGAAGCGGATAAAAGGGCGTTTCGAGCAATGGATAGCGAGAGAAATCAAACATACATGACGGGTAAGTACAGCAGATTTGTGTTTATATTATATAAAATGTGTATACAAACTTCGAGTTTTAAAAATGTGACTGATTTATTCCCAAAGTCACAGTCGCAAAAACAAGACTTTGATTTTGCTGTTGTGTTTTGCTGTGATTTTATGGCGTAAGAGGACGTTGCAGGTGCAATATCACCAAAGTGTGTGTTTATTTCGATTCAACCCGCCACATGTGGTGGCACATTAGCTTACATGTGACTCTTGTTTTGGAGTAAGTGGTAGAGGAAGCAGCGCATCAATCGGAAATTATGACATCATGAAAATGGAGATGACCTGCAGGGACTCATGACCCTAATATGAGAAAGTAATGTGATTTTAAACAAGTGACAAATGTACATTTTCGTTTAAGTTGCAATGCTGCATTGCAAATTAAACGTATCCTATACATCAAACCACGGTAAAAATGAATACATGAATTGACATTTAATCTTGAAATTCCGGTTTTCGTGTACATCTGTCTCTGTGGCGCAATCGGTTAGCGCGTTCGGCTGTTAACCGAAAGGTTGGTGGTTCGAGCCCACCCAGGGACGGGAATTTTTACGCTTTTCCTCAAAAAGTATGACAATTGACCGATATTACTAAATCATAACTATGTATATTACTAATGCAGAGTAAGTCATATGGTGCACTCCATTCATTCTTTGGTGTTGATTGGCTAAATAACTGGCTTCAATCACTATCGATTCAATTCTGTACATTCTAGGAAGAGAAAGCACTTCGCTCTTTCCACGTAATGTTTATTTAATGTTTTTTCTGTTTACTGATACCTTAATGTTAACCTTTTTACCATTTAATCTAATTTTAACAGGTTATACTTTTAACTCCGCTGTAGTATTTAAAATATATTTGCTTGCACAAGTGACTCAGGACTGACTGCACAAACCCTGTATATTACTGTGGTATTTAGTGTTTAGTTTTGCACCTTAATGTATTGTCCTGTTCTGTCTTGTCTATGCATGGGACAGTGAGAAACGAAATTTAGATTTCTTTGTATGTCTAGTACATGTTAAGTTTTGACAATAAAGCTGACTTTGACTTAGACGTTGATTTTGACTTAGACTTAGACTTTGACTTTGACAGGCAGTGTGCCTAAGCTGTGGAGTTTCACACAAAGAACAAAGTCTATTGTACTAAGCTTTACCTAACTCTAGACCAGGCATGGGCAAACTTTATGATTCACACTCCACAATTGTTCTTAAAATTGAACAGGGGGGCTGGGTCAGGAGCAGATAGATAGAGCGTTCGTGTTAAGTAAGATAAATGACATGTAAAAGGCATGCATAAAGGCTAAAATTCTTTTAGCATTTTTAACACCATCTATTGGGGAAACATGGGTATTGCAGGGAAAAGGCAGAAGTATAATGATAATATAAAAAACTATAACATTTGGATAGGTTTGGTGGGCCAGATTAAAAAGATAAATGGGCACCACGGTAAAAATGAATACATGAATTGACATTTAATCTTGAAATTCCGGTTTTCGTGTACATCTGTCTCTGTGGCGCAATCGGTTAGCGCGTTCGGCTGTTAACCGAAAGGTTGGTGGTTCGAGCCCACCCAGGGACGGGAATTTTTACGCTTTTCCTCAAAAAGTATGACAATTGACCGATATTACTAAATCATAACTATGTATATTACTAATGCAGAGTAAGTCATATGGTGCACTCCATTCATTCTTTGGTGTTGATTGGCTAAATAACTGGCTTCAATCACTATCGATTCAATTCTGTACATTCTAGGAAGAGAAAGCACTTCGCTCTTTCCACGTAATGTTTATTTAATGTTTTTTCTGTTTACTGATACCTTAATGTTAACCTTTTTACCATTTAATCTAATTTTAACAGGTTATACTTTTAACTCCGCTGTAGTATTTAAAATATATTTGCTTGCACAAGTGACTCAGGACTGACTGCACAAACCCTGTATATTACTGTGGTATTTAGTGTTTAGTTTTGCACCTTAATGTATTGTCCTGTTCTGTCTTGTCTATGCATGGGACAGTGAGAAACGAAATTTAGATTTCTTTGTATGTCTAGTACATGTTAAGTTTTGACAATAAAGCTGACTTTGACTTAGACGTTGATTTTGACTTAGACTTAGACTTTGACTTTGACAGGCAGTGTGCCTAAGCTGTGGAGTTTCACACAAAGAACAAAGTCTATTGTACTAAGCTTTACCTAACTCTAGACCAGGCATGGGCAAACTTTATGATTCACACTCCACAATTGTTCTTAAAATTGAACAGGGGGGCTGGGTCAGGAGCAGATAGATAGAGCGTTCGTGTTAAGTAAGATAAATGACATGTAAAAGGCATGCATAAAGGCTAAAATTCTTTTAGCATTTTTAACACCATCTATTGGGGAAACATGGGTATTGCAGGGAAAAGGCAGAAGTATAATGATAATATAAAAAACTATAACATTTGGATAGGTTTGGTGGGCCAGATTAAAAAGATAAATGGGCCACATCCAGTCCCCGGGCCATAGTTTGCCCATGCCTGCACTAGCCCATACTGTCAGTACTGTCGTTGACGACCAGTGTCTGCAAAGACAGTCGGCCTGGCTGTTATCTCAGGACCGTACTGATTTTTACTTGCTGTCTGACTGCAGCAGCAGCATCTGTGAGCTCTTGGTGCTTCAAGTATAAATGTATTACACTGGGGAAAAAAGAACTGATCTATATCTGCAGGTTTAATGTTGCTGAACACAAGCAGATTATCTGTCAGGACTGATTACTGCAGGGCCACATCCTTAATCTGTCATGGATCAGATGACAAGATCTCACAAGGGACATAAATTGCAGGGAAAAGTGATGATGATGATGATGATGATGGAGATGATGGTGATGATGATGATGGTGGTGGTGGTGCAAGGAAAGGAGAGTGGGAGAGTGGTCTGGGCCACATTCACTTCTAGTAGAAAGGTATTTTATTTCATATTTAATAATCAGAATTTCCTTAGTTGGATATGATTTTTGTTGTTTCTGAAACTAATGTGTAAGTGTAAAATAGATGATAAAACTTAAGTGTGTGAAAATACAATGTAATAGTTGTCCTAATTTTTTTTTTTTTCGATGATTAGAACTCCATAGCTATAAATAAAGTAGGTGACCATCACAGGGCGAGGGTGATGAGATGTTTACAAATTGCATGAATCATAATTGATGTGACTCAATAATAATCCTGAAGCAGGGCCCAAAATAATAATGCAAACGGTAGCTCTGAAATAGGCAAATGTCAACAAAAATATAAACAAAAACAAATTAAATTAAAGAAATAGAAAAGACCAAATTTTTAATACCTCATACAACATTGCACTTTGTCTCCTCTGCCAAATCCTATTTAAAAAAAGTGTTTTGAACTGGAATTTGGTTTGCTTCTTTTTCTATATTCAATTTTTCCATTCCATTTTGCTCTAAATTTTGACTTACACCACCAGTTTGCATACTATATGGGTTATAGTTGAGTGCTAAAATCTGAGCTTTAGATATTCTGATTTTATATCCTAATGTCCATGCAGGTCTAGTAATTTCTTCAATTTAGGATGCGTTGTGTTCGACTAAAGCTATTACATTGTCATTATACAGAATATAACATTTTCATCCCTATCAGATCATGTAGGATCGGTACAACTGTTAGGGGAGGCGTTTGATTTGCTTACTCTTCTCTATTAGTAATCATTTTACAAAAAGCCAAGTCTCTGATATCCGTGGTCCGTCAGAGCTTCTCAGTCCATATGGCTGAAGCTCTCTGCCTGGTTTTGTCATGTCATCTGCTCCAGAGCAGCTTTGCAGTCCATTAATATTCATCACTGCAGCTTCAATCTGCAGAAATGGGGTTACTGGCGTGTGTACATGATTCTGTCTCGGAGGTCTTCATTTCTCTCACTGTCATGCAGCCATTTGATCTTGTTCCTCTGCAATGACAGTGATGAAAAACAAACACGATAAATGGCGGCGCAACAGCAGGATGATGTAGGGATAAAAGAGTTGTGTAGAAGAGCCAGAGCTGAGGAGGCAGCTGTGACGTCGCCGGCGCTTTAACTAGGTCAGCCGTGAAGCTGTGATGTCACTCAAGCTGGAGTGAGCCAATCAGGAGAATAGTTATGTCCCCTCCAGGGAAATCAGCTGGACCCCATCACAATCTTCTTCAGTCTCTGCAGCTGTGTCACAAGTCACAAACTGTAGGGTTAAAAGGCTTGAATATTTAAATATGGAATTCTTTATTTGTGCTTTTAAATTGAAAACACAAAAAGCAAATGAAATAACAACTGCTGCCACCCTCAAGTGTCCTTGTAGTTCTCAAAGTGGGGAGGGGGGCCTGGCAGGCGCAGCAAGGCAGGTGAATTTCATTTTGAATATTTTTTTTTCAGTGTTGAAAATTAACTAAATATTCATTTTATTTTCCTTGTTCAAGGTGCAGTTCTGTAGGAACTGCAGTGTTTCAAATAAAGTGCAGCTCAACAATAGTCTGATCAACAAAAGCGCCGCAGAAAGAATATGGTTGTCACTGTTCTAGTTATGGCAGTGCTAGCTCCCTTTTAGAATGTTGACAAAAAATGAATTTACTGACTTCCACTTGACTCGTTTCTCCTTCATCTCCTCCTCTCTCTCCTTTAGGCTTCTTCTCCTTTTCACTAAGATCAAGTGTCACCACAGCTTCTTTGTACTTCACTCAAACAGCCCTAAAGAGGGCGCCTGCTGCAGCGGCACTACACTGCAGCTATTCTTTGATGTTTGTATCAAATACATTCAGCAGTTCAAAAAGACTGTATATCAGTTTGTTATAATCAGCAGGGCTTTGCATGTTTTTGTACCACTGTGAGAGTGGGTGTGTGTTATTGTTATTTCCACAGATCCTAAGGTTGTGGAACGGACACTGAATGCTTTGCTTAGAATAGCAAAAACAATGTCACGTTTGTGGCATTTTAAATAGCAAAAACAATGTCACGTTTGTGGGTCATATTGTGGCATCACTTTGTACAGATTTTTATTGTTATTATTCCTGAAAACAGATTCAAATGTACTTGTATTCAGTCATAGTTCAATGTCAACTGATGATGGAGGATAATATACCTGACAGTGTCTGTGAACTTTCTCATCATGCCAGACTTGGTCACCTGAGTCACCCTCCACCCTTTGTGTGTATAAATAAAAACAATCATTGTCACAATTTTAATCACTTACCCAGGTGAAAATTAGTCTTTATACAAAACCTAACATGTGATACATAAAGTACACAAAGGAGCGCACAAGTTCAACTTCAAGTTCAACAAGTTCAATCAAACCAAAAAACTTTTTTTCAGGGCCTATGTCACGGCAGTGAAAGTCCTCTGAATGTTTCTTTAGGATTTTTTAACATTATTGACATTTGACAGTATTTCAAGTCTCGATCGAAATTCTAATATCGCCTTTTACTGTCCACAGGACTGTGGACGTCCTCCTTGCCTAACGATACCACAAAATTCTTGGATGTCATCGTTGGTCTGTCAATCAAAGGTCAGCAGCGAAGGAGCTGAGGTTTGTAAAGTTTTCACACTATTTCCCACCAATGTCCACAGAGAAAACCAGCATTTTATATTACAACACACTGGGTCTGTTAGCCTAGCATTATCACTAGCCTTAATGTGTATCGTTTACTGACATTTTAGTTTAGTGACACTTAATACCACTTTGCTGACATTGCAGAAGTGGCACAACTGTAAAGTTGTAAAATACACAATAACCTGAGGCTAACAGTGTTCATCCAACCTTTAAGAATAATTCTTAGATTTAGAGGAGCTAAAATGACATCAGTGACTCTTGATTACATATGCGTCAGCACTCCTGAACCCCCGTGGCTTTGTTCCCGATGATTAAGCTCAAATTTCATCACCTTAATAGCACTGTACTGAATTAGACCGGCTGGCATTTGACTGACGCAGTAGGTGACGGTGATTGTAATGATTTGCTGAGTGTCAGCCTCGGCACAATCAGTGGTGTAGAATATAATGTTCTTCACACTTCTTTGCAAGATGAGTAATTAAAAAAAACCCTTATTTCTATATAAAACTCAAGATTTAATGTTAAAGAAAAACGAGCAGCAACCTAAAGGTGGTCCAAGAGTTGATTGAACTGGAAAGATATTTTTTGTTTAGCTAGAGCAGGGGTGTTAAACTCACAGTCTAAGTTGTTGGCCAAGGGGGATGAACTTTAATTGAACAGTCTAATTCAGTGGTTCTCCAACTTTTTTACTCTGGACCACCCGAGAAAACATTGAGCTCTCTGAGTACCACCATGATGACCATCATTAGAATTACCCTGCTCGTTCTACGTTCAACTCTACGTGCTGCCTGTGCTTACGTGAGCAACAAACTTGCATTGTAGCAAAAAACAAGTAAATACATAAAAAGACCAGACATCCTATTTCATAATCTAACAAGTAGCTACACCGTTTTTCTAAATGTTGTATTAACTGTGCATGGTATGTTTCAGATGTATTCAGATGGAAATGTAAATGTGACAATATGAATTTTTCCCACGTATCACTAGAGAGCGCTCGGGTACCGCTGGTGGTATGCGTACCACAGTTTGAGAACAGTTTCATAATAAGCAGGAAGTATTTTAATCCCG